TATATATATTTTTAGCGCCTTCGCTTTCATAGAATATCGACTCGTTTTAATTGAATTTCGACTTTCAAGTTATTCCAGTTCAGCGTTAAATTGTAGTAACTAAGAAGCTAGTTCATTCAGTAGGTAAGTGAAATAAATTACAAAACGAGGAGATTATATCAATTTCTTGATGTTGATCTGCGCTTTTGAACAACGCTTGTCAAAGTTTCATTAGTGGTTTCGTTGAGGTGTTATAGGCAAGGAAGACGGTTTTGACATATTGCAGTGGCAATATGTTTGCCCCGTAACGGGGGGAAAATCGCGATGGTCTAGGTTCAAAAGTGCACATAGGCAACGAAGACGAGTTAGCCTTCATAAACCAATTATGTATTCCTTTCAACATAGATAAGACGAGTTCAGCGTTGTTTTTCTATCACGTTTTTCTGTTTAAAGGGTTTAAAGGATTAAGTTCTAAGGGGAAGTGGACTCGACATTAAACGATCCTCCTCCGCATATCTCAAGTGTCTGTCGATGTATTTCTGAATCTAGTTGTGGTAAAATGGGGATCCTTTATAAACCATTTTGCAACGTTCTCCCTAGAGCGACTTTGATAAAATCGCAGAATAGGTCCATGACATTTTTCGCCAGACACTTCATTGAAAACGCGGGGAATGGGGCGCGAACACGTGGAAAATTTCAATGTGACCTGATTTTGCCAGGATCCGTAGATATGCCAGTCCTACTCTCGACGCATGGCTTTTTTGAAATAGTGGAATTAATTAAAGTTTGAATGGTTTGATTGCTTGATCAGCTACGAGAATAGGCGGGTCTAATTTTAAACCACTTAAAACAGGTCTTAGATTTCTACAAAATTCTTAATTAAAAAAAAAGTAATATAATAAAATGATTCAAATGATACGTTGAAAAATTGTAGTTGAAAACCGCGGTAACATGTTTAAAAGAAGACCGCTATAAAGGGTGTTTCGGGCTAACTAAGATCAATGTTGACAACAAATAGGAATTAGTCGGAAGGAAGGCCTTGTTCTCAACCAACTTACTAGATCAGTTCATAGTTGTTGAATGCAAACAACTTGAGAAAACTTACCTTGAGAGTTTCTTTACGAGCTCCTTCAGAGACTTCATGTCGACAGCTGCCTTGTGCGCCCTTGGACGTCTCTGCCAGAATTAGCCGGAGTCTGTTTGTGGCCAACTGTAGGGGATTTCGCCCGGAACGATCAACCGCTGTAAGGTCACTGCCATGGTTGAGAAGCTCCTGAATTACTGGGCCATTATGAATGCATATTGCTGTAGTTGAAAGACAAGAGACCGAGATACATGGGTACATGAGTATATCTAAGAAAACTACTATGCTTTTTCATACCATACAGATAATTTTTGGATAAAGCAAATCAAATGTAAACGCCAAGATGGCTTTGCACAAGTCACATATATTCTGAAACATATATCATTATACTGGAAATGTATTCGATTATATTCAGTTTGAATCCAAGTTACGTAAAGTTAACACATAGATATGTTTTTCACAATTTGTAACTTGGGTTTTCGCACCAGTTTCTCTACTAACATTGGTAACTGCAACCATTACCGTAATATCATAGAAATATACAACAAATTGGTAATATTTATGGATATAGGCATGATAGGGTTCCATATAACCTTCTGTTTTACGTAGAACTGTAAGATCATGTGATGCATAACCTATAGATTACGTAAATATTTTGCGACTATATGGTGGTTATTTCTGGCCATGTCCTTCCATGTCATGATAATCATTCTTCTATACGGTTCTTATTATAAACAATATAACTACACAGAGACCATATTTTAAAGCTCCCAATTTATTACCACTCTTTTGTTGTTCTCAATATTATTGCTATTCATATTCTGTACAACAGTATGAAATCTTGCGTTGACTTTGTCAAATTCCCCCCATGCATAGCAGTCTACTTACCGAGGTGCATGGGTGTATTTCCGGCAACGTCTTGAGCATTGGGATCAGCGCCATGACGTAGGAGAAGATTAACCAACGGAACTCCCCCACGGATAGTTGCAGCGAAATGTAAGGCCGTCCTTCGGCGACTGTCGCATGCATCGGCGCGAGCACCATTTTTTAGCAGTTCTTCACAGCGGGCCACATCGTTTGCTGCTGCGGCTTCCCGAAGAGCGTTATCATCTAGATCAGAGCAGAAGCAAGAGTAGTTCGACACAGTATGTAAGCTTAATTTCGTTGTCAAATACAGTTGTTCGATCGATAGCTGACAATTTTCACTAACAGAGCGTTCAAAAAAGGAGGACGGAGAAATGATGATAACGATACCCATAACGCCACCTTGCAGTGTAATAGGGCTGTAAGTTTTTTTAACGACTTTTAAATCAAGAGGGCTGTTCATGGCTCAGGAGCGCTAAATTTCAACGGTATGATAAAAATACTGACCACTCTTTCTCGGAGGCTTCTTCGGATACATACAGTTAGCTCGTACTCGACTCACGCGTCCTCGGCACGTCGGGTGTTTCAATATTTTCCCACCTCCTATAGACTTTAAATAATAAAGCACGAATAAACATCGGTGATCCACCACTTAAGGTCCTGGCCAAATATTAACTTGAACAGTTGTATTTTGTTAACTATATGGCACCTTTGTAATTATGTTGCTCTTATAGCTTTCCTTAAGTTCTGATTCAATTGTATATAGTAATAGATTAGTGGTAGTTGTTCAAAAATAGCTAGATGGCCTTAAAGTGACATACATTAGGTAATATACCTTGTCGTTGGTGCTGATATCTGGCAGTAACAAATATGCTAAAACCGTTCCAATGCCTATAGTGGTCGACTAGTTACGGAAAGAGTTGATCAAATTACGGCAGAAGCTGAGTAAGATCGACGCGTAAGTAGCCATGATTTCGCTAAGGAAGTAAACACTCAGGACTCGGCAATTTAAAACCATTCGAAAATGCTGGCTACAAGAAAAACTCGGTTGTTTGGGTGCTACACGAATTGACGTAAAAGAATTTCCTTGACCGTATCTTAATCCGAGATACTCTATAGAAATGCAACGAGAACAAACCATTTCACGAATGATGAAAAAGAATCATATACGCCAATAATGCGTTAAGCTCCATAAAAATCTGCGGTATAACCCAGACCGAGGTCACACAAATGGATGCTATATATATATATATATGGTAAAATCGAAAAGGAATCGTGCATTATGAGTTGCCACCACCTGCCAAAGTGATTGATTCTGACCTCTAACATCAGTACTTGATAAAATTACGACAAGCTATTAACAATCATCGAGCGAAACTAGTAAGCAGAAAAGATGTCGTCTTCCACTAAGGCAATAGAGACCACATACATGTTGAGCTACCCACCAAGAATCGTATGAATTCAAATGAAAAATTTTAATGCGTCCACCATATAGCCTGAATCTTAGACTATTAGGCTATACGGCGGATGTATGTTTCAATCTCGTGCCAATTTGGTTTTCACGGAAAAATGTGAAAATTGTTTGCTAAAATACTCCGCCCATAAACCACAAGAATGTAATGTTACTAGAAAAATGGTATTATATTTTTCATTTAGTAATTTTATTTGACGATATAAGAAATACTTGTGTCAATTTTGGCATTCAAACGATTACTAAAATAAAACCTCTTCTTTCTAGACAACAAACGTTTCATAGTGGACAACAATACGCCGTTTTCGCGATTTGAGCGAAAAATACCAATCATTCAAACTTTTCGCGCTAAACGAACCTTCACCAAAATAAAAGAAGATTTTTTTTTTATTTCAAATCGTTATTGCCAATTTTATGCGAGTCTTGAAAAATCCAAGGAAGATTTGTGTAAGGCAAACTAGGAGACCCATTACAGGTCTAAGATTTAAAGCACTCAAAGCTTTATCAAAATGACCTGGAAGTCATTTGGATTTTTAGCGCGGAAGTTAACGGCCGTTTTGTAGAGAAATATATCAATTTGAACTTTGAGCCTTTGTATTTTTGATACGTTAGGTCTGCTATCAGCCCAAGATTTAGTTCCGTTCAAGCTGTCGGTATAGAGCTTATTTGAAAAACACGAGCGATTTATAGCCACCTATCTCGCTTGACGCGCGGTTATTATTAAAAAGTTCATTGCGGATGAAATAAGGCGTATTTTGAAAATGACTAGTGGGCAATTTGGGTTCCAAATTGAAGTTGTAATTGCGCTGAATGATGGTTATGATAAACAGACATGACCGCCAGGAACGACACCTCTAACATATATAAAGAATATTCCAGAAATGTATGTTTTTATTGATATAAAGTCTTACAACCACAGTATGAGAGAAGGTCCCCATTTAGGTTTCGTATCTTATATATGTACATTGTACAATATATATATATACTCAATAGGTATAAAACACATTTTGTAAAAACATATTGACTGAGCGATAGCGTAATGGATATGGCATCAGACCCATAACTATGAAAACTTGCAACTATCCGATTTTCAGCGTAGACTGTTTGCGGACCTTTAATTTGAACTCATCAAGCAGTTAAATTTATCGAGCATGAATCTAATTATATTTCGTACTCATGATTTATTCAAAATCTGTTGTCACCGCACCATGACCATTATTGCCTATCGGCGCAAATGAACCTGATCAAACTGGGTAGAACTCTCTAACTTGCAATCTGCTCCTAAAGTGATGGGAAGCGCTGAAAGATCCATCTGTCCCAAACTGGAAAACTTATATTTCAATTATTTCGTATGAATTCTCTATTTGCACGTGCCCTGAAGCGCAAAATATATGTATCTATACATGTACTAGCATCCTTTTCACTAAAATAAGATTTAATATTTCATTATATACAATTGGTCACATAACGTTTTATTGCAACAAAGGACCAACTGTAAATCACAAGAGCGCTATTACTATTACAAGGTCCTGTTGTCCGCATGCTGTGTGTGCTATACTGGTATGAGCTGAGAACAGAATTTGATTAAAAAAAAAATGTCAAAAGACTATTTTAGGTTACCGATAAACGTGTGATTCTGCATATTCGTACACAACATGCTGCGTTGGTGCACATAGCATGCCCATACCTGTGAACAGTCGTCAGATGACGGGGCCGCTGGTTTATTACTTGGCTTCATTTCAAGAAAGAACTGTTGAGTATGGTTTTCCGTTCCATTGTCAATATTCTTCAAAGGTGGAATCGAAATGATGCCCTCCTTGAGCGACATCCTTTCTTCAGCTGCTAGCGGAAGTCCCGAATTGTCATTGACTAACGGACACATGTCCATCTGTTGGGGTCGGGGAATCTCCAGTAGCTGGTCGACAGCACAAGGACAATGCAATTAGAAGACGAATCAGATGCTTAACCATACGCTCTTTTACGTAGCACTGAATAATGGAGTCAATTACGAGGAAAAAGACGGCTTAAGATAAAGGTGGCTTGACGAGCTAGTGGGAAACAGCAGTGGTTAAATTAAGCGAGTAAAAATGAACTCGAACTGGTTTCTGTGTCAGCGTAAGTCGGCGTCAAGATATGCATATGGAAATGACAGCTAGTCAAGTTCCGTACCAACACCTTCATGACAACAATGACAATAGGAAATCCAACGCAGCCCATTTCTGATGTGGTCAAAAGCATTCAGGCATTTTTTGGCGTAATGCAGACAAATTACAAGAGTAAAACAATCGTCTGATTGTCACGCATTAGTCTTGGACTATATTTCTATATATAACAGATATGTCCTTAGCGGGAACATCAGCGTTGAAAGATTCTATCGTTTGCACGAAATATGGCCATTTATTTTTTACCGTACGCACCTGTGCACTCAAGCTCCGATAACAACAATCGATTTTGAATTAATAATAATAATAATAGCCAAAAACCTAACTACAAGGCTGGGGGTTTGATGTTTTGTAACTGCGGATGCAACTTTACTAGCACTGCCGACGATACCCGTTTACTTTCGGACGGAAAAGCATATGTGAGCTTCCTTTGCGAGCATGATTCTTTGTACCTCAAAAATTAAGCTTAACTCTAATAAGGACATCTTTCTTGACCAGGTAAAACAGTTGCGACATGTTGTCGTGAATTTATGGAAAGTGCTATTCTATAGCGAGGCTGATTACATCCCTAATTGTGATCGATTACAAGCGCGAAAACGAATGTATCGTGTATACGCGTATCTATGGGCTCCATTACTCTAGAAATGTGATTGAAACGATTGCTTTAGAATTTCTACAATAATTATTCTGAATATGTTTATTGCTCAACATGCACAAATAGAAATAAGGGGGTAATCTGTATAGCATATCTTCTACATACCTTTACTTCCTGAGGAGGCAAGTCCGAAACAGAAGGTGCATCAATTATTCCCTCATCAAGCTAAAAACCAAGAGTAAATATCCTATTGATTTACTTGAAAATTCTCTTACGAATACCTACTGCTCATAATTTATTATAGCAATACACGTATATTTACATAGCTTCATTACAACTGCGCAAGATCTTGCTGCTCATAATTTATTATAGCAATACACGTATATTTACATAGCTTCATTACAACTGCGCAAGATCTTGGTATCTATCTTCATATTCATGCAGCTTAATTATTGAGCTACAAGCCATACTTGTTGGCTATGATACTTGAAGGCACAAGAAAATTCTAATTCAGAATCAATTCAGGGAAATGTCCTCCTTAGAACTGACCCACAGCGCTTACAGAGGCCTCTCCTGCTCATCAATACAACGAATATTTGCATACAAATTTTTCTTTAGAATACCTAGTACTACAAAAGAACGCACTTTTTAGCCGAGTCCTCAAGACAGACCGTACAAGTTTCGAAAATTTGAGCACGATCATTTAGGCCACGCCGAGGATTTACCTTGATTACTTTATGTGTCTTAGATGCATACGAAACAAGCATAAAAAAACGGTCATCTTCATTCCAACTTTTCGACCCTACACATATTGTCTAGACAACTTTTTTCTCGATATCATTTTTTTCATTCATCTGCTCGGATACCTGATTGCTTGATGGATAGTTATTTCGGTGCGGAGGCGATCCGACAGACATCGCAGTAGTTGAGCCGTCTGAATCGGTCTCCACCCCGGAGTCGTGACGTGTGCGTCCTCCACCGCCAGCCATAACTGAGATAGATTTTTTCCCTCCAAAGGCGCACTCCAATGCAGCGCTCACAACACCCAGAGTTCTGCACTAAACTAACGACGGATGGATGACTCACAACCCGATTCGGCACTTCGCCAGCAGCAGCCGACCGTTTCTGAGCGTACTCAACAGTCGTTCATCGAATTCAGTTTCTTTTTCGTTTATAATAATGTACCGCTGTGTAATCCTGAATATCTCTCAAAGAAATCGTACTTTACTAGAAAGCAGAACCACTCTAGTTCGTGATTTCAGAAAATATTCAATTCACGAAGCAGACACATCGTTAAACAACATAGAACGAAACACAAGAGCAGGAGCAGATTTTTCAACAAATATAGGACACTCGCGGTCATGCACGGTCCTATTTATTTCTAGCTGATTATGTTGGCTTAGTCATTAGACATATCTGTACAGCAAGCTGCGTTTTATCTTGATCTTGTGTCAATTGCGGTAGAACGCTCAGCTGCTTTGCCCGAAATTGTGGCGTTCTGTTTAGAAATTCCACTGATGTTGTTACTATTTCCTATTGTTGTGGTGTGTTTATTTGTTGCGTCGCAGGTGGGCAGCAAAGATAACGAAATCGAAACTCCAACTAGATAAAGGCCATCGGGGAAGGGGTCTACATTTGGATTTTGAGCAACAGGGGAGAGTACCCAGTATTCACAACTCCACATTACGAGTTATACTGAGATTTAAGGAATCAAAATACCTAGTTTGCCAAACTAACCGTGGCTGTTAGGAGAAAACCGGAAATCTAAGGAAAAACATATCTTAAGGCTATTTCTACCCTTTCCCAAAGTTCTTAGTTGATGCCACCGTCTGCTAGTAAAAGAGTTCAGACAGGCGTTTTCAGCATAAATCATGGTCATCAGTATCATCAGGCGGAGCGAACATATAAATGGGATGATGTATGGATGTACTCCATGGAGTCTTGTACTACCTAATTATGCGAAAGCAAATGAAGGGTTAGTCTACGCATGTCATTTGTCTGAGAAGAAATAGAAAGTAAACGGGTGCTTCTTTACAGAGAACAAGTAGCTGAATAACCCGCTTGCTTTTACCGGCCCCAATGGTTCATTCGTTAAATCTCCTTTCTACATTTAGGCGTTAGGTTAACGCAAATGTTGGCTGCGCAGATGGTTATAGAATTAACGTCGTCTATCGAGTATCGCACATGGGTCACATGAAGCCGTGCGACAACACTGAAGTTTTTCCGTCTTTGAAAAATAAAATCTGATGCATACATAGTGCTGAATTTAGTACAGCCCGTACAGCGTTGCATGGAATGGTGTTTCTTATAACTTCTGTTAGCCGCTAAAGTCATGAAACACTTGGAACCAGTTAGCGAAGAAAGTGAGAAAAAAGAGAAAATTGGATTCGAGTTAGAATTTCTCTTTTATATTGTAACGGTGCCACTTAAACTCGTCTTGCAGTAATGCGCTCAGCTACCGGAAGCATACTTCGATGGAGCTATCGATTTTTGCGGAATTTCCATTATACCAGCATTTCTCGAAACAATAACAGTGCCGCTATAAAGAATGAGCTGGGGAAACTGCCCGATCGAAGACTCTACCTTCGCGTTAAAGTATGTTTAAGTTTGTATGTGTTCCTTTACGACACAGGTATTTTGTATAACATCTTGCTTAATTATATGATTTTATGAATAAAACCTTTTGTCACTATTTCGCGATAAAGTTTCCTCGTGTGAGCACCATAAGTATATCTACCTGAAAGTTGATCCAAGAGTTGTCAGTAAGAGATATGTTGTTGGTACACGACGAGCGTGGGATGATGAATTTTTCTAGTTTTTTAGAATTCTTCAACATTGAAGCGTAGAGAAAGCTCTGGGAAAGCTAAACGTTTCTTATTGTAGTTTAGCAAGTGAGAGAATTTTAAGCGAATAACTCACTTAAACCCAGCGACAGATGCAGTCCAAGGTTACACGAGGTGTTAAATTGTGAACACCTCGACGGTGCCTCGGAAGGGATTGCTAAACAACAAGTATATGAGTGTGGTTAAATGAAGTAAGCAATCCCACTTGTCTATTGAAGACTGATTATTATTAGCAAGATTATTAGGAAGACTATTATTATTAAGAAAAAAACGGTTTCCTCAGCAATGGCCTTTCTCACTATTCTACCTTTTACCGATTTATTCTCAGTTCTAATATCGATTAACAACGGAACATACACGTTAGAGTGAACAGAACCATAAAACGATGCGCAAATATAACTATTAAACATAAGCAGTTTTTGCTGGAACTTTAAAGTACGTTTGAACCGGTTCATTTTTTTCGGCTGCACATAATCCCATTCAGTGGTACTTTATTTACTTCATTTATTTACTTGACAGGTGTACAGATGGGGTAAGGTACATAAGATTTGTATTGAATTATTAAAATTGTGCGCTGGTATGCTAAACAAAATAGTTTTGGACTTATCTTTTAGATCCGCCCTAGCCATGCTTGTTTTTATTCTTGTATCAATAGAACGAATATGTTATGAACGAAAATTTGCTAGATTTTGAACGTTCGTAAAATTAATGGAATAAGATAAGGGCATGCTTGCTGGAGCGCCACATCTACGCAAATTTTTTCAGGTGTTTTGAAGCTTTTATCCATTTTGCCCGACAGCTTATCAAGAATTTTTTCTTGTAGGATCTCTTTTTGTGTTCGTCCTTTCGTACCGACCTTAGAAGTTCCTTACAACTTTTACATAACATATTTATTTCTTTTCTATGTACCAGCTAACATTGCATCTCTTTATAAAAGGAAGGTCTAGTCCTCAGGAACCTGCACGCGTCCCAACTTCCTTCCCTGAAAACGTGCATTCGATTTTTTGGCGCTCGCGAAAAACAATAGTATCTTGTACACACGAGACCTTTCTTGTCTAAATCTAGTTACAACAAGATTATATGACCCTTTACCCTAAGTTTCTAGAAATATTAGATCGTTCGCGCCTTCTATAATACATGCAAACCTAATATCCTTCAGTGCTCATCTAAAGACAATGCCCTTACGTTTGAGCTTGATTTCATTTTCTAGTTAAATCGAAGCTTAGTACTTTTGAATAGTAATTATATTGAACCCCTGTCCTTCGAAAATAATTTATTGGTTTTGAAAGTACAACATGGAAAAATATTACTGTTTTCGTCGATGTGTGTCGAAATGCATAGTTAAATTAGCGAATTCAGTTGCTACTATTATTATCCCTATGTTCACTGTTGATTTTAGTGTGGCCCATGCGGTAACTCTATCGAGAAGTGGCTCTCAAAACAGGCGTACGACCACGGCGTCATCATTGTTACATGCGATCATTGTAAAAACAGACATCTAATTGCGGATAATCTGAGATGGTTCCCGGATGTCGACCGCGCCAGGCTCCCTAAACTTCAAGCGGTAGCTATTACATCAACATTTTACTTAGCAAAAAATCAATTTGAAAAAGTTCGTGCAAGATAGAATTTAAATCAACCGCGAATTTTAAATCACCGATTGTATTTACTGCCTTTACGCTGATTATTCTTACTGGTAATCGCTTTATTTCCGCCATCCGCCATACTGTAAGTTTTTCTTCATTATATTAATTGGTACATGTGCTGTGACTTCGGCTGAGAAGGGTTGTAACTCTGACGTATTTGAAACACAGTTTCCGGCACTCACAGCATGTGGTTCTCAGCAAAGAGTATTATTAAATAGAGGTCTGGAATAATTCAGGCTAGATTTTTGAAAAGCATATAATCTTATGTTTTAAGAATATATATTAAGTTGTTACATGTGAATTCAACAGACTTTCAAATTTTATAACTTTTGAGCTAGAACTATGACCTTTCAATATGTGTTAGAGGTACTCTGGTTAATTTTGTTTACACGCGTGTTCGCGCTTTGGCAATTTTTGAAGATTCTTCTATATACCTACTATTTGCGCTTCCATATGCAAATTTGCTATCTTTGACTTTCCCAAGTAAATCCCTAGTTATAAATGCTTTTCTGCTAGGTGCCCCTTTTAGTGCAGGGAAAGCGCCGTAATTACATGGACTAAGATCGGAGGAATCAGCAGGTCGAAGTCAACGTTGGCTATTTCCTTTGCTCAATCAGTGAGGCTTAGCGGTGAGGTCTGTCATTGTCATCAAATAATCAGCTTGCATGCTTTCGACTGCCGTGGCAACGGCCCTTGAACCTCGAGATAGCGGGAGAGATAGCATTTATTATTTAATTTTAAGCGAGAATCTCATAGCAACAAATGCCCTGATGTCCATTGTATGTACTACCATTACCTTGTGTGCAAACCCACCAAACTTGCTTTGTTTCTAGGGCGATGCAACTCCCTTTGCGGTAGGCGGTAGAGACTGAACCTCCGCTTTGTCAATCGCATGTGAAACTCATGTGAAACATACCACGTACGTTCGCAACAGAGTTCGAGTCAATTTACGGAGGACCCATTTTTATTGTATCTGCATTTTCAGCTTCTGAGTTGTAATTCTGTAACATTTTTTATGTATGAAATGCCGGTTTGATCGATACAGCGCTAAAACCTTAAACTCTGCTTTCTTCAAAAGCATCCTCGATTGCGGCAATGCGTTCTCGTTTCTTGAACATTTGATCACTGGCTTATTAGTACTTAACACTCCAGTGTTCGTTCTTTAATCGATTGCACTATTCGCGTACTGTGCTTTCACCTGAGACTTCCTCGCCTAGTGCCTTCACGTATCTTCGATGTATGTCTGCAGCGCTGCGGCTTTTGAGGAGCATTGATTTAAGATGTTTTTCCCCCCCTAAACTCGTTTTTGCTAGAGTGAACTCAGTCGGCTTTTACTCACGAGTTTCTAGAGGACGAGCATTTACCGACTAAATGTCGTATGCTAGCGATACGCAGTTCAAAAGTTACTTAATTTGACAGTCCGCCGGATTCGATGGTAACAGTCTAATAAATCAGTATTTCTGTTGGATTTAACCTAATTAAAGTGTTGGTTATTTGTTGCTAATTTCAGGCGAGGCTGGAGGCCTCCACCTCGGTGGAAAGCGACAAAGCGGCTGTCGACATATCGATTAAGGGAACCGATCGGAGTTAGCTTTGGCTATGTAGCATAGCATAGTCCTGTATATATAATATGGAAGAAGTTTTACTGTGCAAAGAAGATTTATACAATATTTTTGGATTTCGTCTGTCGGCATTTCAATAGTCATGCTTTACACTCTGCTATAAAGTGTGTATACGTAACCTTGGAATAATACGCTAGTTTGGTGTAGTTGGAAATATGTTATGCCTCTCGTGTTTCCTGTTGTAAAGTGCGCTTCTTCGTAGCCGCTTGAATATCCTCTATTCCAAAAACTCTTCATTTTCGTACTTACAAAAGACTGTTCGCTCCAATCGCCTAATGTTGAGGACTATCTAGCTATGATCAATAGCCATTATAGATCTGTTTTCCGTTGCCACTGTTGAAGGTCATCGATATGCTTCATTGAGGTACGAATTAAATTTGCAACTGTAGTATAAGTGTAGTGCGATATATTCGACTCTGTTTTACAATAGGCGCTTATATACCGGAAGGGTAACATGCTACAAACCAATTATTCCATTTTTGTCAAGAGAGACATGCCTATATTGTGTCTCAGTGTCTTTTTAAGAAGCTATTATTTCCAAGCTTAAAGCGATAGGCCAATTAAGTATGGCCTATTTATTTTGTTATGATTCTTCGGCGGAAAATTGGCAGATACTATGCGGTAAGTAAAAACATGATAGCAACGCGAAGTGGGCACAGTTTTCTGTTCTTTATTCGTCACATGATTACTATAAATTGTATGTCATAGTGAAAACATGTGCTTTGTAATAGACGCACACGGGTTACGTTGTCCATAACGATTACGTGTAATAGATCCTCGTCTTGTTTATCGTCTTACTCGTACAACACACATTACTTGTGACAAATAGACTTGCTCCTGTTGGCACGATGTTGTTATTACTCATTGGTAACACACAATTATCAAATACATTTTATGCTATAAGTCAACTAGAGAATACTAGGATGACTTGCTATTCGCTAGTTCTTCGTTCCTTATTTTTCAGCTCTGCTCACCTCTCGTATCTTGTAATTGTTTTTAGTTTGTCTGTAGTAAAACATTCTCTAGTGGTTCACGGTTAAGGTAGTACTCTGGTACCCTAGTCCTCGAAGTGATATCAGATATTGTAGTAAGTAACATTTATTGAATAATCAGATTTATTTTCGCCCATAACTTCTATCAACCTTTGGAATTAGTGCGATAATAATGCTCAAATTAGAGAAGCGAGGGCGCATATCCCTAGATTTTCGTCTTTGACCCGAAACGCTTCTATTTATATGCGTTATTGTATTGTATATGTGTCGAAATAGAGATATTCGTGTGTCGATATGAAATTACTAGTGGTCAACAGCGAGTATTTTGGTGTAGTCGGGATTCCTTATCGAAGAGTCAAATGAGTGGCCTTGCACAAAAGTCATTGTCGATAAGGCATTGTCCTTTCTTGCACCTGAACGACTTTTATTCAGGCATACAACATTCAGTCTCAAATTTCAGCGCCGAAATAAGCTGTCGGATCTTTTACGATGCGGGAACGCCCCGAAGTTAATCTTGCCTGTAAATTGAAAGTCCGCAGCTATGAGTAACATATTGACATTTTTACTAATCAATGATGTCATAAGTAAATACTGCTTCTCGGTAACCTTCTCCTATAGGTCTTGTTTTGAAGCATCTTTCTGTCCTGAGTACGCTGAAGTGTGCCGTTTAAAGTTCCTTACGTTCATCACAACATTAGGTACAACGAAGATATCCACACTGGTGAACGGTTGCTTCGGAATATGTCGTATTCCGAAAAAATCGAATGCTGTAAGCTAATATAAACTGAATTGAAATTTAAAAAAAATAGTCGAAAAAAATACTTGATAACCACAATGAATCAAAGAAAAATCCGTTCGGAAGAACAACATATTTTTTGCAAGTACACTTATGTTACATGAGAACTTCTACCCGTATCTAATATTTTTGTAGACTGGAAAGGGATCGCGATTGCGGCCGCCATACGTTTTTTTCATTGCTTCCTCATCACGCTTGTCTGAAAAATTACCCAAGCACAAACGAATTACAAAAAATCACACTAACCGCGTAGGTAAAGGCAACACGTTCGTTTTACTTATTATCGAATAGGGTTTATAATAGGAAAACGTGTATAGAGGCGATAAGACCAAATAAAACGCACAGTCTTTGCGGTCGTTTTTATCGCGGGCATCCTCGTAGATGATGTCAGAACCAAGCTCTTCGCCATAGTCCCGCTTGGATATGAGTGGGAAAATCAGATCTCCATCGAAGATCATCTCTTCATCAAAGCGTTTTGTTGCAGGAATGAGGTTGTCATGTGCAAGTGCTGCTATATTGCGCTTCCTTGATCTCACGACTGGCTCGGAACTGATTGCACTGCAAGGTGTTTTATAGAAAGATGCGCCCAATTGTAAGGCGCATTTATGCGTACCAGAAATGCTACTGCTACAGTCACTACTTATACTATTCGAATGTGTACATATTATTTACTTACGAGTGTCAGCCCGGGTCTTTACTTGTTTGTAGCACAGACTTTACACAGTTTACTGATCTTCCATCTGCGGGAATCTAGCCATTCTGTCGCATAAAAGCCTGTTCTGTTATGATTTCTTTGGCATATATATCACACAAAACTTTTTAATGAGCTACTCTTCGGGACTGGTATTATGCAGGTTCTATTATTTTGGTATCAAATCATTCATATATTTTATCCATGTGATAATTTGATGCTAACAGGTTTGTCTACTGAATTTTATAGCACGTGAAATGGTTTAGTATCGAAACAAAGCGTGGTTTAGGTGATTTACTTACAATAATTGGCTTACTCGTATGATCCAGCTGTACCCAGGTTCAACCACAACGAAAAACGTGATTTTGAAAAGAGACTAGACCGTGTGTCCGTAATATTGCAAACAATAATATCATGAAACGCTTGTCGGTATTGTTATTGTGTAAGCAGGTTGTCGGAATAAATTCTTTTATATAGCAAGGATATGAAATGACTTCCCTTTTCTCTCACCAGGAAGTCTAGTGGAGATGTATTTTCGCTGAATTTTATTTGAGTTTTTCCAGCAGACTTATGAAACTCATGGTAACCATTTTCCAACGTTGAATACTGAACTAGCGATCGCCGCGTGTTCACGGGCGCCGTGGCACTGCACTCGAAAAGATGTGCACCTAAACTAGGCCGCCTCTAAAGCAAACAGATAAACGCGTTGGTCTGGAGCATTTGCGTAGGTCTCTATGGGATTTTCTAAGCTAATGATTTTGTTAAATACGTGTTTCATGCACTTTAATCGTAGTTTGACGCAAAACCCACAAGAACTCGCTCAACTCTTAAGGCCGAATATCGACGACTATATCAGCCTCACTGCCAGCTAAGGATGCGTTAGTTTTTTTCCTTGCTATAAAATATTACAGTTATTTAGTAGCTAGGTGGGTGGCGCATAAAACAAACCTTTCTGGCGAACGCTCAGGATAGGTTAGGTGTGTGAGGTGGCTTCTGACTCCTGTTCTTGGAAAGCTGAGCATGAACATACGTTTCGGCGCGCAGTGGTGCGTCGCCCACAGTAGCTAGGCGGGCATAAAAATACACATTTTAATCGAAAAATGATAACAACTAAAGGCTTACAAATCTTTCCTGGAAAAATCCTATAGAGAGAGAGAAGGCTAGACGAATTGTGCAATAATGAAAATCTGTTACCGCGTGCAATTAAAGCAAAATGTATGTGTATTACGAACACTTAAAAAGGGCCTTTTGAACAATCATGACTCGTTAGCATTTATGAATATGCATTTATTCGTACACTCGTAATCGTATACGGTTGATGGCAGGTAACCACGTCGGTTCTCTTCGACAATTTAACTATTGTTTAGCCATAATCTAACATCTTACTAACATAGTACTATTTATTAATGCTTAAACCGTACTCACGCAGTTTATTTAATAATTTCTGATTTTAGAGACATTCTAAATATATGCATGCTATTCTTCGAGAAAAACTAAAAGTCAGCTCGCAACAATTGATACTGATTGACTAGTTGCAGCTAGCGGCGACCATTTGGTAAAAGGAAGGTGGTCGTTGCCAGTCGTGGATCCGACCGTGTACATGTGGAAGGGGATTGTGTATTTTTTGGTAAAAAAAATTCACATCTAAGCCATTCCTTGCATTTATATGTGCAAGACGAGCGGATGCATTCACAGAGTTTCTACATTCTTTACAAAAATATATCATTACTTCAATGATATATGCCGTGTGGCTCCGATAATATGAATTCCTGACGTGTGTTCATATACCCTCTAACAGTGACCTGCACATTCCCTGGTTATTACTTAGGTCGCTTAAAATGCAACGATTTGTTTGCAGGCCCCTTGTTGTTTGACAGGTTTTGGAGTTGTATCAGGATTGTTCTTTCCAGCTCAAGCGTTGATGGCTATGTCACAACTGATCCTCATGTGCAGCAGGTGGCAAACAACTAAACCGAGTAAATAACGGGAAGGCTACGATTGGGGTGGATTAATTATTTTCGTACCCTGTTACGCGTTGATTATGTAGGTGGTAAGATAGATGGAGGACATCAACAGCTGAGAGAGGCGTTGCACTCTTTGATTGATGATTGACTCGAATGATTCGGCCGCCTATATACGCGTGACTTGAAAAGTTCTAGCAGGTATTGAGTTGTTTTTTTTTGTAAACTGAAATGGATCACTGGAAAAATCCATCTATTAAGAACGCCGCTGTGGCTCGCGTTGTATATGTGTGGAAAACTTAAGTCTAAATAGAAGACCTGCCGTAGAAAAGCACTAAAAGATTAGGGAAATTCCATTTCTAATCCACGGACTGTGCAATATCATATATATTAAGGATTACATTATTCCATTGGCTTTTTTATAGAGAAATTGCAAGAAAATTCAGCTTCTATGTCATTTCTCAAATACTTAAATATCAAGTTAGTAAGCAGAGTGAGATCTCGGCAATGTAAACATGCCGGGAAACAATAGAGAAAAATTCTAAAGCGCCAAGACGTTGGTTTGAAGTCTTGGCCGTTGGGTTGAAGGCCCAAAGCTGTACCGACTGATCCTTCTGGGCCACACACATAGCTACTAGGCTGTTCTCCTTTCTTGGCCCTGCCAGCGTTCTCGGATGTTTAAAGACACTCAATGCACAACTCTTTTAAGAAAATGCAAACCTGCTTTATTCTAGAAAACCTAATAAACCAGGCTAATAATGCAAACTAACTATTTTCAATAAGCTTAACTATTAGTATATGTTTAGTTCATATTATAAAAAAATATTTATGTTAATCCAGTTCGCATTTTTGGAAGACCTACTAAGACCTAAGATAAGTTACTGCACTTATAACCGGACATACTTCAATTACTTTCTAATGAACCATAAACACCAACAAATAGTCAATAACAATTCCGCCTAATAAGCTTAAATAAGCTAAACTAAAACGTAGCGTAAGAAGAGGTGACACATATTACATATATAAGGATCCAGTTGGTTTCATACACAAAGTACTATTTATCATTAGTCTGTAGCCTAAGTGCAGAGCGACGTAGACGTTCCGTACTTACGGAGAAAAGTGTGAGTGCAAAACAGATCCTCATGGTGCTTACAAGATGCGACTGTACTCAGCCACAACGAATGAGTGCCAGGGTCCCCTCGTGGAGTAATCTTTATATATGGGGAGGGGGTGGGATGGGTAAGAGCTTTGCTCCTCTACAATACCGTCCATTCCCAAGCACAGTGCTCGCTAGAGGGCGCTTGACCGAGCAATGTACATAGTGAGTTAAACAGAATTACAACATATATACATATGTAGGTCTGATTAAGACAACCTTAACCGAAGGTATGTCGAAACCTGTTGAAACATGCAAGCAAATCGTCTATGTTTATACAGTTCCAAGAGTGGTACTTGAATGTAATCGTGCCCACTTGACGTGCTGCATATTTGATTGTAGTTAGAAATGCATCTTATTTACCCGTTATTATTTTTGCGTATTATTTTCGTAATTTTATCACACATATAATGTAGACTAGTCTACGGTGACGGCGGAGCTTGAGCTACCCCAATTTTTAATAGCATCGTTCAGCTCGGACAATGTATGCATTACAGACATCCTTCAACACAGGTTACCTCGCACGGGCAGGTCGAGTAAGGGACGTGTGATAATTGTTGATGCTACATTTTCGTTCAAAACATCTTAATCATTTTAGAATTTGCGAATTTAGCATTTGCTAACTCAATAATTGGACGCATTATGGTCATGCCAATAATTTATACTACGATCCATAAGGCTAAATTCCCTGTAAAAAGGTCGAGTTTCTAAGGGAAACAAACGCGTACAAGGATGCAGTACCAGTTAAGCACGTTTATGTAGATAATACATTTCTACATAATACAATTCCTGTCTACTTTGAATGATGGAGCGGCCTGCAGAAATCTGCCTGTTCCTGATGAATTTAATCATATACTCTCCGTTAATACCTTCACATACGCACTCACATCTAGTCTATCACGTTCATTTTTTTCCCGCAGTGGAAATGTTTCTTTATTTTCTTTTTTATGTAACACTATACATCCTTTACCAGTTAGGTTGCGCTTTTTCATTGTTCCCTTCTCTTGGACTCTGTATTCCCTATCGTATTAATAGCGCGGTCATGCCGAAGATCGTTTTAAAGGCGAAACAATAGAGACTAATACAGGAAGTATAAGCAAGTTGCTTCCACCGCGACGCAGATCGCATAATCCGACGGATTGCAAACTAAACACGTTGCATGCTTTGGTTACAGTGTCTGATGGAACAGAACGATGACCAAGCCATTTTCTGAGTGACAACCAGCACTTCAAGGACGCAGCGATAATGTTACTTGCCTGTCTCTGACAGGCACCAACTGGACGCTCTTTTGTAGACTTTTGACCTAAATGTGTAATTTCGCCCGTGAATAGAAACTGGACGTCATTAAACTTGCAATACATCTCTTCTTGCGCGGACAGAATATCTGCTGCCTGCGCATCGACAATACTATCATTGAGAGTTCTTTGTATTACGTAAAGCACAGCTTGCGGGTTTCATGTAGATTCCGAAAAATTGAATTCATTAATTTTTCAAGGAGTCAGATCCATTCAAATTCGAATTTTATATGCCTAGCACTCACCTGGACCTGTTGAAGGAAAAGTCTCGAAATTATAGAGGCAAGAACCCCCTATAATTTAGCTGTTTTTCGGTCTAGCAATAAAATAAATTACTTTTATTATTGTCAAGATAAAAAAAAATTAGAGAAACACCGAGAGCAGAAAAAAAATGTAAACCTAAATCTATTGTAAAAATTTTGACTTGCTTCATTTCTATACTACTTGTACAAATTTGTGGAGTGGATCATAATTTGCGTCCTTCCTGAGCTTGTCTCCAATCTCGAAGAGAACTTAGCTTACATCGTGTGCTTTGCTAGCATGTCCGAGTGAACTAGCTTATGTTGTGCGTTATCGACATGGCAATGCAAATGCGATGGTTCCCATCGAGACCCTGCTACGAGTCGATTTGCTAAGAATGCAATACTCTTGCGCTTTAATGCCATGCATATATAAACGAAAAATCAGTAAAACCCAAATATTTGAGTTGTGGCTTATTTGAAAACACACGTTCTATTGTATGATAGGTCGCTAATAAATTCATAATCAGATACGTAAAGGGTTACGCTGACTGTAGTCTGAAATTACTCAAACATAAGTCTTCCTTTCAAATTTGCTTAATATACATCGTTATTATATGAAGTGAGGTATGTATGCATTTCCACTGAAAATTATCGCAAGGTGCCTCCGGGGCGATACAAGCTGGCAATGGCCTCTGTTTTGCAAAACGCTAATTTGCTCTGTAAAGCGGTTATGGCTTACGATGGCGATCATTAAGTTGATTACTATGATGTACGCAAATCCGGTTCAAGCGGTTCATGACTCAATAAAATATTTGCATCGGCTTCGTGTCAACGCAAATTTTTCCTCTGAATTTAACTAACGTCTATTTTCTAGCCAACTGCATAAGCATTCTAATATTAGATGCTAAACCTTTGATTGATCCGCGCCAAATGACGGAGGTGGCGAAAATAGCCAGCGTGACAAAGATGCTTAAGCCAGAACTGGTGACCCAGCAGGTGCATTATCGATCAAAGGCGCTACCTAAAAACGTACATCTTCTCTCCGCGCACAATGGCAAGCCGCAGGGTAAGTCTGGATCCTCTTCAATTCTCGCTAAATGAACTAACGTACGTTACTCATTGTAAACTTCGTTGGTTATGAAGACTTCCTACAGAAACGAAGCATGGTAGTGTGTGTATGCGGTGAGTAGAAGGCAGCTGTGAAGCTGATACAATCGAATCAAAGCAACGTCAGTGCTCTCATATTGCTTATTTTCGTGAAATGAGTGATACTTCAACCCAGTGGAACCTCAAATGTGTTTACTTAGCTCAATTTTTTATCTCCCAGAGCGTGAAGACGAAATGGACATTTCAAAGTTTTTCCAGACCTGTAGCAGACTATAACAACAAACACCATGTGACAGAACATTTGTATATGCTCCGTAAATAGCCTAGAGGGCTACCTGGAAGTTAGGCATAGTAATTCCAGATAGTTGCTAGGAAGCACAGAAATATTGGTTTTCGAAAACTTAAAAAGTCTCCATTTTAACCCCATTCTTCTTGTATTATAATTATGCTCTTCCCAGGTAATTATAATCATATACAGCGGTGCAGAAGATATATTAAAAAAAAACAAAAGCATTCGGTTTTTAAAGTCTGCTCTCTACTCAGTTTTGCGTGTTACCTTAAATCGAGCTACTCTAACGAATCTTCCAGATCGCTGTGATATAAAAATGTTTGTTCTTTACACATGATCTATTGTATTGCGATATAGAAGCTTAGAAATATCTCATGTTTATCAAAATAAGAACACTTCATACCTTAAATTCTCACGATTCCGTGATACTGCCCTGTATCTGTCTTTAAACACTTACGATCATCTAAACCTTTCGCATTTGATATCTTGATCCTCGTTTTCTGCTCTCGTGTGGCTCCTATTACTAGCCACATCCCTTTTGGCCTTTGTTTAGCTTGGAATTTTCATCTGCAACACTAAATCTCTAAATATTTCTCTGCAGTTATTATGGAAATGCTCACATACATCGAATATAAGTAGACGAATGGGTGCTTCATCTGTTGAGTGTACCTCTAAAATGTTTGGGTTCTGTCTAACGATGGCTTAACAGAAATATTGAAAGCTGCCATATAATTTTATCTACGGATTCTCGGCCAGTGAATGAACAAACATATTCTATAATTATAAAGATAAGTGATTCCAGCGTTTTGGTTTAGTTAAAAAGCCTATAGGAACAGTTCTTCACCAGACCGCACCGGCGTTTACGACAGTCAGGTGAATGAATGTCGGCAAATTTGATCAATTGTAAAAACTTGCAAGCAAGAAAATATGGCGTCGTCATTCAAATCACTAGAATTTAAGGGAAGATCAACGAATCAACGGAATAACTTAATGGCTACGGAGCAACGTATTGACAGAATATCCGTCGGGATCGACCGCAATAAGAAGGTGGGACATTTATAAACTAAAAAAATCGGAATGTCGTTGACCTTTCTTACATTAGAAGGAAAATGAATATGTCTTTAGTGTGGGTGTTTTACACCTACACTCCAACGAAAAGTGAATTAACCAAGGTACGCTATGCTACAAATAATAATACAAACCTAATTTATGTCATAAGTGTATGAAAATCCACCCTCCAAGCATTCTAATTTTTTCTCAATTGCAGAAATTTTCAAATCAGTGTTGCCACGCGAAGATATACTCGACACTTATTACAGCTCAAACAGCTGACGATAGACGTTGTTTCCGTTGCTTTGAGGTCCGATTAGCAGCGTCATCTGAGTCTCCAGTTGAGCCACTTCGTAGAGATCTTGAAGCGTTCATCCAAACTATGAGCCTTACAGATAATAGCGAACCTGGCGAATACAAGGAGCGATTACACACTCTATTGGATCAACTTAACGATCATGGCAATTCTATTGGAACTTATATTTTCACTGAGCTATCACACGTTCTAATAAATCGAACACCTTTAGCCAACCTCGTTAGTCAAGCAATGCTTCATATCGTGAAGCAGCTCAAGGCGCACCACGTTCCGCGGCCTCTTATTCTCAATTTTGCTGCTAAAATGAAGAACATACCTGAAGATAGTCAAGCATTCATAGTCCACATAATAGCTGAAGCGCATCGCAAGGGCGTAATTTCCGCCGTCGAAATTCGAGGTGCCATCCCAGCACTACTAAAGGTGTCGCATTCGCATGACATTCTCCCGCAGCTTGAACTGCTGTCAACGGAAATCATCGACATTGACAAAAGGTATTCCAGCATTATAGTAGAAGCCTTTTTAGCCGGCATCGAGCTTGACAGAACAGTGGGCCCACCCCAAGAAACGATTAATATTGTTTCTTATATCGCTAAGCAACAACCGCATGTGATGCTGCCACCATCGACTGATTTACTGGTCACTCTGGTAGATGCATTCGCATCGACAAGCACGATAAATTTCGTGTGTGATACGCTACGGATTATGGCAAAGACTCTTGAATCGGCCGCGTTTATAGGTAGACATGGTATTGAGTTGCGTTTGTCTGAAATCGTCTGCGTTGCCATTGAGGGTCAACTTGTGCTTACTGCCGCACAATGCCTTTTGGATCTCGGATCGTATGACCCGTGTTTCGTAGATGAAGGAAATCCGGACGAGTTGTTCAACCGAATGACGGAAGTCCTCGAACACTGCACGTTTGAGCTAAGTATTATCATCATTGGCATATTGGAGATTCTATTTGAATGCAAGCAGCTGAAGCCAATCAAAACCCATAATGTGGAAATTCTTCAAAGATATTTGTTTGAAAAACTGCATCCTGATGAGAACAGAATCCTGCCGTTTGCTCGGTTTTCTATAAAACTATTGATATCTGACAAGTTGCCAATGATTACTTCTCCTGAACACAACGTCATTCTTTTGGAGGGCTGCGTCAAAGCACGTCAATATTCGGAGAGGGATATAGAAATTGAAAGCATCGTTAGATGCACCGAACGTATAATAGACGCCTGTCTAAACACACCAAATATAGATTTATCTAAGCTTATCGAAAGCACCGTTGCTAAAGTGTTTGCAGAACTTAATAGGACGCGAATGCCTTGGAAAAATAAAGACTGGATCCTTCTACTGATTTCTAAGTGCGTCCAAATAATCAGAACGATAAAAGCACCGATGAAACTTTTGAATTCCTGTCTGTCTTTGGCGTGGCGTTTCCTTCAAAACTGTATTGAACCTGCAGAAGGACGTGCCTATATTGCGAGCCTAGTTTGCTACTTAGATTCTCGAGAAGATCCTCTACACGTTACTCACGATATAGAGAGGATCAGTGACGAGTGTCTTACCCCTGCGGAAGTCTACTATATACTGCTATTGGCGAAAATGGACAAAACAAGTAAATCAAACAATGCTAAAAAGAGCCTTCAGCAGCTTAAGGAAATTTTGAACGGGCACTCAGATTCATGGGGCGCCGCTTGCGTTTCTAAAGTTAACATTATTAAGCGCCTCCTCGTCGAAAGGCCAGATTGGGCTGAGGTTGTTGTGAACGCTTTAGAGGCTGAACATAAGCTTCTAGTGGAAATGCTCGATGCAGATTGTGCACATCTAATATTACCGTATCTCGTTGAGGTTATGTCGAGATGTCCCGCAGGTGAGGTTGGTCAACTTATCGCAACAGCCAACGATCTCCTTTTTGTGGCCGCCCGAATGGATAGACCCCCCGACAAACTTCCATTAATCTGCGTAACACTAGCTAAAATATATCAAGACTATCCATTACTAACTATAGCTTCATTACTAATAAGACTAATAAAGCTGGAATCCAATGCAGACATTTCTAGACAAACAATCGAGCGCCTTTCCGATAAAACGACGTTCATCGATAAGTTGATAGAAGCCAGTACCTGCTGTACGATTCGTTTGGAATTATTGTATATTTTGAGCCCTGTGATTGAGGCTCGAAGAGCATGCTTGTCCTGGGTCGAACTAAAGGAACTGTGGCATATTTCAGCACAACGAGAGCAACAAGAAGCGTCGAACATAATCTCGCTAATCGTGTTTGAAACTCTAAAAAATGACTCTGTTTTTCTAGTGCAGCCTCAGCCCACAATTGGAGAATTTCGAGAAGCTTGGATGCGTCTACTTGAATCTACTAGTGAATGGTTGTTTAGATCTGCTCTAAACTTTCTCCACCCGTCAGCGCCCAATTGGATGTGGGAGCAGGCCATGTTCGAGTTACTCGCTAATTTGCAGGAAGATCCGAAAACAACTAGCATGCCTAAAGTATTTACAGCATTGCTCTTGTCAAAATGCGTTTCACATCAGAGCTTCACAACGATGAAATGGGGAATTCTCGCGGCGCCCTGGTTAGCTGCTGCCAGAAACGAGTTACCAGAACATCTGTGGAATGACTGTGCTAACGGATTAAGAGAGATAAACGAAAATACAAATGTTAACACTTAAGAAACTCAAAATTAGCCTATGATGCAGCCCTTCAGGTTGTCAGTGTTTCATGAACGGCACCGGACGACAATTTTTACACGTGGACCGACATACACACGTTGTTGAGGGCTTCCACTTTCACGATCTGTTAAAACGTAGTTGAATGAAAAACAATAACTGTTCTAACTATACCTCTAAAATGTTTTTGATAAATTAAAACTCAGGACTAAGGTAGAGGTGTCGACATTATTAACATAGTCTACTGATACTTCTTGTATACCTATTGCTAGTATAACAAATCTATTGCTAGTATAACAAAGGCGGCCCAATTGCCCAATAGTGATTAAATTTTAATGTCGTCGGACATGTCGTCATACCTACACGTCTGGTGAAGTTTACAATAAGTCTATCATCGTCTTTACGTTTGAGGCAAAATAACATAATTTATTTTTAGTTTGACCATCTACTTATCTAAACTCAGTAGTGTTTTCTCGGTCTCATTTCGTTTTCTTCCTCATGTAGGAATAATTCTAGCAAACAACTTTGTGAAGATCTTTCTTCATCGTTTAGCTATGCACTTAACGCGAGACACAACATAGTCTATGCCGCTCTCAACCAAAGTTTTCTTCCTCGACTCTATCGTACTGCTCGACACTGATCGAGAATAATAAATATATTCAGCCCTGCAGATCCAGGCAAGGCCTCGTCCGAACAACAACCGACTATTGTCGATTATGTGTTTCGTAACTACAGCGCTAAACTGTCTAACGGCCAACATATTTATTTACCTTGTCCTAAAACGTGCACATAGTTATTTGTCGGTCATATCTTTTTGTTCCATCAGATCATAGAGCATTCGTTTATTTCACGTAATTTCTGTCGACCCTCCTTTGACCCTCATCATCATCGCCACAATAATCAAAATTGTCAATTTATCGTATCGATGTTACTTACTCGTCAACTGTATTTTCTTATAATCAAACGTAACTGAATAACTGCACTATATGATTTATTTGTAAGGATAATCAGGGACAAATTGGTTGGTTGCTCGATTTACGTTCTCTGAGCTTCCTTTGTTGCGTCCTTTCGCCTCCATGTTCATTGATTTTTTCATTTTTTGTCTTGATTCTCATCCGGTCTCTGTCTAAACGTCCTGCAACTCGCTACTTGACACTCATCGAAATAAGTAATCATCACGTGAGGATCTTCCTTAATCGCGTTTGTTCTGCATGCGCTGATATTAACTGATGTAACTTACTCTACAGATTATGTATGAACTAACCCTAATAGTGAAACAGAACATGGAAGCGACCTGCTGTAATCACAGGAACAACAAATTCGATAATGGCAATGATGATCTGCATTCACAACGAGCTCCTGTAAGACGCGGTCATCGGGACAGAGCGTTAGTTTGCTACAAAAGATTCTTCTTATAGATACTTACTCTAGTGTGTCCGCTTCGGTCGCCCTATTACTAATTATAATACTTAACCGTCCTCAATACCCGTTGATCGTGTTGGCGTGAATGCGACAGCACAGTTACTCCCAATATTTTACATTTTAGTATTTTATTGGTGTTGTTTCTTACTTTTCGATTAGGTCATTATTTTCCCTTGGTTTTACAGGTTTCCCCTTCGCTTTCTCTCTCTGTCCAGTGATTTTCTTTTTCCCGTCTCGCTGTTAACTGAACGTTGATTTTCGTGGGTCTTTGTGCTCCTTTTGCTTCTGCTGGAGGTTGTTTTTCTCCATTTTGCACAGCGACCTTAAGGTACAGCGACGACACGCAGGGTGTTGGATGCGCCGGCTCCTTTTCGCCAACCCGTAACCACGATCACTGAGTCGTTCTTTTTGAGGAAACCGCGAGTCTTGCCAATACTAATAGCAAACTCAATACGCTTGTCGACGTCCTGCGGCCAGTCAGGTAGTCGGTCCCCACCGTAGGCAAGCGGCAGGATGCCGCGGTAGAGATGGGCCTGACGGACGGTCTGCTCCGAGCGCGACACTGCAATGATAGGACAACGGGGCTTGTAGCGGGCAACCAGGTGAGCCGTTCGTCCTGTGGTCGTTACGACAATAATGGCACCGGCCAAACATTTGACGGAGGCAGCTACGGCGGCAATGGCAACGGTATGCGTCGAGTCAGTGGGCACAGGCGTTATTTCTGAGAGGTGACGGAAAACATCTTTCTGGAAAAACGCGGCTTCCGCTTCGCAACAAATGGCTGACATGATCTTAACCGTCTCGAGGGGGTAGTCGCCCTTTGCCGTCTCCCCAGACAGCATCACACAGTCGGCTCCGTCCAACACAGCATTGGCAACGTCACTGCTTTCGGCGCGAGTAGGTCGAGGCTTTTTCACCATTGATTCGAGCATCTGGGTCGCGCAGATGACAGGCTTGCCAACCATGTTGCACTTAGCGATCATCATCTTTTGGGCGAGGAAGACCTGATCAGGGAGGAACAGACGATAGAACGTACGATCAGCAAGGATTTGTTTAGTGTTGTCTATGATAGCTGAATAAAGTGCGTTTTTTGACAGAAGAAACTGGTTTGGAAAAGAAAAAACAACTTGAAAAAGTTATCTTCAACGTTTCTTTAAGTTGTTTTCTTTTTAAATGACGGCATTTTTTTTTAAATTAATCACCTATTCTCCTAACGGCCGCCCGCATAAATGAGATTGGTAAAAAATTAGAAGCATTTCTTACTTTTGAAGGCTTAATGTGTCGGAAAGAATCAGCAACTGTGCTACTTAATGGAAAAGGGGTCAACAGAAAAATAAGTACGTGCAAAGCAATAATTCCAAAAATTTTCTGTAAATTTCTCTGACTGTGCCTTTTACCTTCTCAGGCGGAATTTCAATTCCAAGGTCACCTCGGGCAACCATAATTCCATCGGTGATCGCAATGATTTCATCGATCTTCTTGCAACCTTCATCGTTTTCAATTTTTGAAATAATCAGGATATCCTTGCCTATAACATAGCAAGAAAGAGAAACGCCGATTATAATCAAGTTGTATAATCAGACCTAATAAAATCGAATCATGTTTTGCTTTAACACTCGTCTGTTGCCTGTGATCTCTCATATGAACATTTAATTATAACCTTTTAAGGTTATTGTGCGAGTCAATTCAGTTTCATGCCGATGTCACAAAAATATCACAACAGTGACACACAATAAAGTGAAACATGCATGGCCTTGAGCATAAACTAGCGTATGAAACATAGGTCAACGTCATGCCAAGGTAATATCGTTATTTATTCTAATTATTTATCTTTGACTCTCATTTATACTACCACGAGAGACTAACCCCTTGGCATATACCATGCTTGCCCGAACTAATTCAGTTACCCATTTATAATTAACCTATCCTGAAGGTTTATAAGTAATTCGTTCATATATTTATTTACTGGAATAGGGTTTCATAGGTTTCATATGACTGTTTCAAAATACATGGTTATGGAAGCAGCAGAAAGATATCGAAATAACTATAAGAAAGAAATAATTATTGCCAACAATGGTTTTCATGACGTTCTTCAGAGACTGATTAGGCTCGATTAATAAATCAAATATTGTATCTTTTTCTGATAAAGCAGACTACACAATCGCACAGAAACTGCCATTTTCAATCAACTCAATACAACTCCAGTCCTTGTCTGCCTATCATTCACCTATCATATACCGAACCATGTGCTTTTCCGACAACTATTGAAAGGCACAATTTTTTGTCTATGTAATTTCATGCCACTCAACGAGCCAGTCTAATAGAAGCGCAAACGAATGCAGAGGAACTCGCGGTGAAAGTTCTGCCACCAACAGCCAAACACACGACAACTGTTCTACAAATGCCATGAAAATTGACAAAGCGATTAAACAGTCATATAGAGAAGGAAGCTATCTTTGCAGACAAGTTTCTCTTTAGTTTTAAGTAGTCCTTTGTACAAGAATAATTAGATAAAGGCTAAATACTGTTGACATGTTAGACGGTTTATATTCAATGTCATAATAAGTCTTCCAGTCATTCTGGCGCAACAAAGCCATATATTATATGTCCGTTTCTCGGTCAAGTTAACGGCCCGTTATCAAACTGGTATTTATTTAAGGTTTGAGGTTACCTATATTGCCACCCACTCTTTGGATAAATGCATCACTATCGCCCACACGGTTGGATAGATCCGCATGAACTATCACTCATGGGTTACTGGTTCCGTTACGCCTGTTCTATCAAAAATTCTCAGACATGTGAGACACTAAAAATAAATTTCTATCCATTATACCAGCCACCAGCGGTCTTGTAAAATCGTATTGTACGGCTGCATGAGGAAGCACGTGGAGCGGCGTACAATCAAACGATTTAAGAATGAATAAGTTCTTGATGAAAACGACTAACAGAAAAATGTTAAAATTTAAAGCTGACTGCCAGGTAAGGAATTTGATAATGGTTAAGAGCGGTGGCACGTGTGATGATACAATGCAAACGGTTTATATCGGTTTATATATAAATGTTTTCTAAGTAGAACTACGAGCCGTTTATTCAATTACCAAACTGAAATTAATTATTTTGATAAATTATCGAAAGGTATCAACGCTAGCAATACTAAAAAAATAACGACTAGAGATAAGATCTAACGAACTTAACAAAATCCACTAAAACTACGCTCGATTTTGTTTACCAATAGTTCAACGTGAGCAGTTTCGATTGGGCAACGCAATAATTCCTGTATATATGATATGGAAAGATATGATGATATGGAAACTGCGTAGAAGGAAGCTTAATGTTATTGTATGTAAAACAGCTTATAAATAACTAAAACTAAAGTACATGCCTTCTTCACCAAGAACCTGTCGGATTTCGTTTACTCCACCAGCATTTCGAATGAAAGACGCAAACACCATATCAACCTTTTGTTCTAGACCAAATCGGAGATCAGCTTTGTCCTTCTCGGACACCGCAGGCAGGTCAACAATTGCTCCGGGAAGATTAACACCCTTCTTACTGCCCAAAAGCCCTCCATTTTCGATGGTGCACTTGATTTCATCAGCACGCACTTCCTGTGCTATTAAAGAAATTAGTCCGTCATCGACGTAGATCTTCTGTCCAACTTTGACAACCTGCAAGTTTAGCCGAATATGCCAAATAAACGAGAAACTGTCGATAACACTATTCACATACGGCGACGCAAAACAGTCGTCTATTATATCGATGTATTCATCTACATTACGCCCATGTATTGTTCAAAAATACGAAGCCTGTAGCATCTGTATTTTTGACTATTAATTTATATATCTACATCGACTTCATTTGCACAACTTCGAGATACACATGAGGCCACAAGCCGTACTTCTACACAATAATACCTTGGTGATATTCTTGTAGTCGACGTAAAGCTTTTCCTCAGAGCACGCATCTTGAAGTGCGTCGTCAGTTGTAACAATGATAGTTGCGCCTCTCTTGAGTTCAATCTCAGCAGTCGCACCTCCAACAAGTAGGCCTGTACGGATCTCAGGGCCCTTCGTGTCCAAAGCGATAGCAACGTGAAGATTGTCCGGGGCGATTTGCTCGTTTACGATGCGATTTGCTTCACGAACGTTTGCGATTGTGCCTAGAGCAGACATTTACAGCAACAGACTTAATTGAATGCCACTGAGTTTATAGAATAATCGATTCGATTGAACGATCGATGCTAAGCCCGTGTCAAGCAAACATAAATACAGCCTTCTTTTCCTGTTTATTCAAAAACGTCTAATATGTTCGGCGTAACCTCAAATGAAATAACGTTAGCTAGAACGTAGAACATCGACTTACCAGCGTGATACTCGTATGTTCCATGGGAAAAATTTAGGCGGGCGATGTTCATGCCGCACTTTATCATGTTGACTAACGTCGCAACTTCCCGTGACGCCGGACCAATTGTGCAGATGATGCCTACAAGCAATGTTTAGGTTGGTACGACGACACTGTTAGATGCCTTGGACATATATACCTTTTAATGCAAAATGAAAGCAGTGCGTAGCTAAATTGCGTCATACCACAAAACTATTCATTACATCGCGGATCGTTGCTCCTAAAGGCGATTAAATATCGACTACGTAGAGACGCTCGTATGTTTTTTGTTTATCACAATTTTTGCATAATTATCGGTTAAACTATTCCTAAATAACATGGAAAGTTACAGCAGTTAACTAGCATTGCTTCAAAAGCAGTGTTCTAATCGATTTAAATCGCTGAACCACTACTCAACACCAAATCAATATGATCTTCGTCAATTTTTCAAATCATACCAGTTTGCGTACCAGAATGTCTCAGGTTCCTCACTTCACCATTTGTATATAGAGTGCCACACTCGATCTTCAATCTTTAGGCCATAGCTAGACGGTTTTTTGCCACCATGTTTAACGCATATATCGTCCATCGTACTATTCCTGGTTTCTCTGTAGTTTGACAAAATGAACCCAGTTGAACAGCACTAGTACTCAGCGCAAATAGCGCCGCTTGTACCTTAAAGGCAAATATGTGAATGAGTCCCTCGTGCTTATACGAAAATCTCGAACCAAACCCGATCTTCTTGAAGTTCTCGAAATATTGCACGATTCCACTTCCTCTTTCTCTAAAAATCTACCTAAATCGCTTCGAGGAAGTGGCGCCATTTTGACATTGTCTTTATAGAGATTGTCTCGATAACACCGAGATGTGGGACCTCCATTTCTTATAAATGCATGAGAAGGTCGACGAACTTGCCCGATCCAATTGTCGCATGTAGTCCATCCGGAAATAATCTTGCACGTGCTGCAGTTAGGTAGGAACTCCAGACCGAAGGTGAACGGTGAGACGGCGCAAATTAAATTCAGGCAAAATACGGATAGCGCACTCGATATGACTGGCTCGGTTGGGCGGAGCAGCAAATGCCCCCGTCTAACCACATGACCTTATAAACATTGTATTTAAGCAAAAACATAATTAGCAATTCATTTATGTTAAACTTCTTATTGTCTGAATTCGCATCTTCGATTATTATCTGTCGAATGTTTAAGCCTTCGCCTAGATTTCCTAGAAAACACAAATGAGCAATATAGTTCCAATAATTTGAAACATCGCACACAACATTGAAATATATTGTTATGCGATGCAGCAGCTCGAGCTAGTAGCCGTTCGATTCGAATTGCGATTAGAAATATCGAATTAAGCGAAATGGTTCAATATGCTAGATTATCTTGGAATTTTGAATAAAGCCCATATTGCACATCCAAGCAGTTTAAACATTTGTCCTTAGTGGCCTTAACCGAAATGATTTGATCACCCTAATATCCCATTAATTATTTTTGTGTAATTATCTTCGTGCTCTAGCCATAACTTCCACATCTAATTTCTTTGAAACCTTTTAGAATTTTAGAAATTGTAATAAACAAAAGCGTATAAATACAAAATGAAAATGTGCGGAAGAAATGCTATTTTACACTTAACATCTCTCAATTTAGAGGCATGCGTACTTTATGAAATGAACAAATCGGGTAAATAAATATTATACGTAACCAACACAGAGTTTATTTTTACATAAAGATTAAGTTTTATCACCTCACAGGCAGTGCAGAAACTTTCCAGACTCAATTGTACAAATCTTATTTCATGTATAATCCACCGTGAGGCTTACACACGTGTATACCTTGTCGATTTGCCCGCGATTTTTTTTATATTGGCGTTTATCCAGGTTCACGGCAAGTCCATAAACTTAAGGATAGGCGGGGTTAAATAACCGGCAAAACTTCCCACGCAACGTGGACCTATTTCCTTCAACAGCAAACTATATTCTTTCTAGGATCAACGGCACGGCGCGACATGACCCTGAAAGTCCTTTTAACGATTGCTGCGACCTCTAGAAGACTTCGCGGCATAACACAAACAGGCGTTGCAGTAGCACGGTAAAATGGTTACAGAAATCCACCTTTTCTGCTGGGCTGACTGATACTATTGTCTTATAAGATACATTGTCGCGAAAAAAAAAGAGCAGTTACTTGACTAGGAGCATCTTCCAAACAAATTCTTATGTCATAACTCTGGCGTAACTCCAGATATCCGCTATGATGTGACACTGTTTTTAATCTCCCTTTGATCGCGTACAAGTCGAATTATTATTAGCAATGCAGTATGGACACATTTGCAGCACGCGGTTAATCACACAAAACGTTAAGGCCATAGGTGCATGATTATAATCCTATCAATCGCCGTATATGACAGAACGCTCACATCCTCGTTCTGTTGAATTGTCTGTTCTAATCGCCTACTTTGAACCCAGTAACTGTGGTTTTTTGCGTAAAGGTACGACCGCGCAAATAAAATGCATAACTAATTTATATATGTATAGATATAAAAATATATATATAAATTAGTTATGCATTTTATTTGCATATATATATATATATAATCCCATTATCATTTCCACACGGAGGCGACCGGTAATTATATATGATTGACCTTTTTAATCCGATCAGCTGGGCACACACCTAGGGACGGGATGCCAACAACCGAATGGCTTTCGCCACATGGTAAAAGCGAAATGATCTGCAAATCACGATGGCTCACGGATTTTATATTTAAATCTCCAATTTTTGTGGGAATGGCTAGCATTTGCTTTCCACTTTCCAGCTAGCAAGAACTAAGCCCATTAAGTAAGCCCACTAATCAGGAAAACCTCTTTCTAATACACTCTAATAAATAGAAATCTCCATCTAATAAAAGGTTTCTAAAATATACTTTCAGGTAGAAATATCTAAACTGGCTACAATATCAGCCACAGTACGCCATAGGAAATGGAAAACGCATTATGCACTACCCATTTATCCATCTGTAATCGAGTGGCCGTCGTCCAACCCTATGAACATTATAGAAAAACAGACAAGCCAGAATTATTTTTCAACTATTCTCCTATATCGATTCCCGTTGACTTCCTGCATTCCCTCTAAGAGCTCACTTTCTTCTCTAACCTGTTAGCCGGGTGTACGACGGGATGGAGTCGATATTGAGTCGTGAAAGGTGTTCCTGAAGGTTGTTCGAATCTAGAGCGTGGAGCTCGGATCCTTGCGCACGGTTGGCCATAGCTCCAGCGCGAGTGAATAGTGCTCTATAACAAACACCGAACAAATGGACACGCGTTGGAAGTAGCACGATAGCAGTCGACGTCAGACGCGTCAACGACAGACTGACTTCTTTGCTGACTAGCCAAGCCGAGCTGGTATTATAGGGGACGTACAGCAAGGACGACGCGGAGAACAGCGAAGTTCATAAATAGTACCACCGATACTGCCGATCTAGTCGCTGCGGTCGCTACCATCGCCGCCGCCGCCGCCGCCGTCGTCGTCGTCATCATCATCATCATCATCGTCATCACCACCGCTGCCGCTACTGCTGCAAGAAGCCACCGGTAAATGAAAAGGACAGCGGCCGCGGCAAGAACAGGCCACAGAAATAGGCAAAATGACAACTTTTTCTAACAATAAGGCCACCAACAACACCTACGAAACTGGAGCGCCAGGCTGAGCATTCGCGTTATGGGTCAATAGAGGAGGGCGAAATATACAAGACGTAATGAACAGACGTATAGGGATTACTATTAGGTGAATGGATCTTTTTCTACCCCCTCGCTCCTTTTTACGCTGGGATTAACGATCAACAAATGAAATGTGAAGATTTTTAGCAGCTTTCTATGAGTTTGGCACTCCTTTAAGATTTTTCAAGCTGTTCAACATTCGTCACTACCACCAAGCTGTGGTTCGCTAATGGTGGAGAAAATGGTCTTGTGTGGTACCTTGTGGTACGCCTAGAAAAACAAGGTTTTGCACGTGCGTCTTTTCGCTGCTGCTGGAGTCATTGTTCCTGGTGACGTTCGAATGAGTTGAGGAACCTATGACGTGAGCAGTTTTCATGAATGAGGATTCATTTTCGATTATTCGGTTTTATTTGGTAAATTGGTAAGTATCCGGTAACCTCTCCATTATTTTCTGGCAGAAAAGTATATATACAATTTACTCGAGCGACAAAGACGAGTTAACGTGACATGGGTTTTATCTTTACGTCGATACTGTCATTATACTAATCATACTAACACAAATAAATGATATACTGGTTTGTGCTGAGTATATTGACCTTGAAAGTTCTTCCAACTTTTTTTGTGAAAGAGAGCATATGCAACCTTATGTCACATTTTGCTTGCAATGAAAGATCTGGTTTAGTTTTTTTGCAGTGTTACTATATGTCACTACAATTGACGTTTGACTTGGAATAATTGGAAGGAAAACTAAAATACTCTAGTGCAAATTGGTTTTTGGGGTGTCTATTCGTTTAAATCCAGTTGATTAGAAAACTGTTACCGAACACACCTCTTTGTATTCCATTATATTGAAGAGCTTGCTTTATCGGTGTTTTTGATTTGGATTAAAGGGGTGCCTGAAATTTAAGTATTGGCATACCTATATTAAAATACTTTTCAGTATTTATGCGAGATGGTACAAAGTGAAATATGGAGGTTTAATGATATCAATGATGTGCAAAGCTTTCAATTTGAGGTATACCTATTATGCGTGTATAATAGGAAAACATTTGCAAGAAACGTATCTTACTTCAAAAACCTACAAAACAACATGGCAAAGAAGTCATTCGAAAGCATACTTTTATCTGTTCTAGCTACGATTAAAAAAACAATGTTTAGGGCTTGCAATATTTAAATTATGGTTAACATGGCAACCCTTACGTTCAATTCCAATTTACTATTAAAAGTGCTACAAATCACCTTATAAAACATATTCGAACAACTTTTATGATGACAATGTTACACTTCAAATGAGGTGCACAAAACAGCATAGTATGGTTTCGCTACGATCAATACATTAGTGCCTATATGAGAAGCAGGACAAGCGCCTTCAGGAGGCCTAGTTGATCAACTTCATTTATCTATGGATGAGCCAAAACTACAAGTAACAGCGTTACTTTGTCCTACTGTTAAATTTCCCTTTACTTTCCATTTACAGACCTGACCTGTAGTCCTCCAGAGATTCCCAACATGAAGGTGAAGATGCTTGTTCGAAATCCGGACGAGTACATTCGTGATACCTCACGCGATCTGCATAGACATCAGCGGAATGTCGCACCCGAGCTTCATCCGATGACCGTTGTTCGAGAGTACACAGCTGCCGTTAATGCTGCCAAATTGGACCGGGTAGGAACCAAATTCTCTTTAAACTTTAAGTTTGATTTAAATGATCTGTCACCTAATTACAATGATATCGAATCCTATATATATATATATACGCATATATACATCACGCATGCTAACATGATATGTACATATATATGTCGTATCAGCTCTAATTGCATAGCTCCATATCTCACTATAGGATTACATAATAGGATTTTCTTTATATTGTTTAGTTATACTTTTAGGAAATCTTTTGACGTACCAGTTAACCCTAGCTGTGTGTATATATATTACATGTGTATATTATAAATTAAGATTATCCGCCTGCTTCAATTTCTTTTTAAATGTAGGAATTACGTGTGTCCTCGGATAGAGGCACTGTTTTTCGTAAACCTAATTCATGATCAGGCAGAGAAGACAGTAACTTTACGTGCAGTAATGGTTACTTGAGAACTGTGCAAGTGAATTCGTTAACCCTTCTGTCCATTGGCAGTTTAAAGCATGTAAAATGTTAGTTAAAGATGTTTTTGTTTAAAAATGTTTTCTCACACAGATTTTTGCAAAGCCATTTCTTTGCTCCCTTGATGGCCACCGGGATGCGGTAGAACTTCTTGCAAAACATCCTGATCGAATTTCTGGTGCCGTAAGTGCTTCTGCTGATGGTGAACTTCGCTGGTGGGATCTGAGTAACAGAAAGTGCGTCCGAGCCTTACAGGTAAGTAGCCAATGATGCAGATGTTACTAAATAAATAAAGTCAATGTTCGGCCAAAAGTCAAGGCAATGTACATAAATTACATTAGCTGCCCAGACTTATTATTCTACATTCAAAAACCCTTAGTATTTTAACACAATAAGTTCAGCTGCAACTGATGATAACTAAAGCAATTGATGTACAGTTATGTTTATTAGTATCGTACGCAGTTGATGAACAATTCTAGACAATTTTAGGGTGCCAATGTGTGCCAAATGAACTAGTTCATGTAACTAAAGCAGTAGTACTCTTTTTTTAGTTAAACTTTAAATATGTCAGTTCGATGTATTTTTGTTGTAGTTTTTGCAGTTTCTATTTTAACGCAAGTTTTAACTAACATGTTTTTCGCAGGCTCACGACGGGCCAATCCGGGGTTTGGTCTTTGGAAAAAGCGCTAACGTGCTTCTTACAGCTGGACAAGACCAAACCATCAAACAATGGCGAGGCGCGGAGATATGTCACACAATCCTGTCGAAAAGTGTCATCATGGGACTTGCACACCACTACAAGAATAATATGTTTGCAACCGCTGGCGAAACGGTACACTTTTTCGATTTACTGAAAACAATTTACTCCGAGTTTTATAGGATTAATACATTGTTTCATGTCGTACGCTTCTTGTACAGCAGTAGCGACGCCTTTATTATTAGTTGTACACAAGCATAATAATCAATTGTCAGTCAGTACCCGTAAAATTTACAGTGCATGTCGGGGCGCTGTTTTCATGCGAAGATACGCCTTTGCCTGTGTCTTAAGGACCCATTTTTCAGACCAGTGAAACATACTCTTAACTAACATTCTATATACTAATACCACGTGTTTTAAAAGAAATAGAACTATCAATTAATATACTTCGCTGTGTAACTCAGTTTGTTGACTTCTTTTAGGTGAGCTTATGGGAGGAAGGTCGAAATGAGCCGCTTCGCAGTTTTAACTGGGGCGTCGATACAATTTACAACGTAATTTTCAGTCCAATCGAATACGATCTTCTCGCATCGCTTTCCAGTGACCGTTCAATTGTTCTTTACGATATCCGAGAAGCATCTCCCTTACGTAAGGTTATCCTTGAAATGCGAAGCAATGCGCTGGCCTTTAACCCCATGCAGGTATATCCTATTCTCAATTGCTTCTATAATATAAGTAAGCTATTTTTATTCAAGTCTTTCGCATCTGAACGTAAAAACTAGTTCACAGCGTTTTCTGCTGTAACCGACCTAGCATTACCTATTAAAAGTCTTATCTAATTTTAATTTAATTATTATGTAGGCAATGCACTTTACTGTGGCAAACGAGAACTACAATCTGTATACGTTCGACATGCGCCATCTGAAGAAAGCTCTTCAGTCACACACTGACCACGTGGGAGCGGTTCTTTCCGTGGATTACTCGCCAACAGGAACTGAATTCGTTTCAGGAAGCTACGATAAAAGTGTTCGCATTTATCCAGTTGAGTCGATGCGTTCACGAGAAGTGTATCACACTAAACGGATGCAGAGGGTCACCTCTGTCATGTATTCATTGGATTCTAAGTATATACTCAGCGCTTCAGACGAAATGAATATCAGGTAAAACATCACATCTCGTCAGCCGAGAGTATTGCAAAAGATCTCACCGAACGCAATTAAGTCCACTAAGAGTAGCGATCGTTTCTGTTACCTATATTGTTTTAGCTGCTTCTCACTGAACATTCAAAGTCGCTAACTTTATTAATACTGTTAATGCCGGCTTTATGTACCATATACGTTATCGATCTATCGTCGTGTGCTATTCACTCCCAATTATTGTTTCGATTTTCGGTAGATTTCGGTAGAGCACAAATGTTTGTATTCTTTTTATTCCACCTAACCTCGTCGTACTTTTTCTGGCATGTAATAGATTGTGGAAAGCAAAAGCCTCAGAGCAGCTAGGTATCCAGTCGTTCCGCGAACGCAACACAAACAACTACAATGAAACTCTCCTCCAGCGATTCCAGCACCATCCACAAGTCAAACGGATAGTTCGCCATCGACACATACCAAAAACGTTGTACGCACAGATTCAAGAGAAGCAAACGATGGTTACCGCACGGAAACGGAAAGAGATTCGGCGAAGGTTGCATACCAGAGACAAGGATATGCGATTGCCAGGAACCCGAGAAGAGGTTATTGTTGAAGAACAAGAGTAGACTAAATATATATAGATATTATAAAATTTTATATATATACGTATTATATAGCCATGGTAATTTTTGTGCAAGCAGACGTTTGGATGTGAGAAAAAATGCAAGAAATGGCTGGGTCAGTAGTTCACTTGACCGGTGTTTCTAATGAACAATTAAATTGGATCTAAAAAGGGTGTTCCACTTACTTATTACGTGTTTCGATTGTGAGATATTTATGAATTTGTAAGAAATAACCAAAACTAAGGACTCACTCTAGAACGCTATAGCAATGCAAACACTAGGGGCTATAAGACCTTAAAGTAAAAGTTAAAAATCATCCTAGTTCATGCCAGGCATTAATTCGAGGCAGTTATAAAAAATGATAACTATACAAAGGGTTGCTATCGATGAAATCGGCGAAATATTTTCCACTGAAACCACAAATGACACCATCAGGCATAATGAAATGGGTATAGACGTGTTTGTGTAGATTCTATAAAAAATACAACTATAGCAGTTGAGTGTAAATAAATATACCTTACTATTGTAAGGTTTTCGTTGTTTTTTTTGCTGTTGGATTTATAAAGAAAAAAAAATGGTAACGCATTTCATACTTAAAAGAATCTATCGCGCTTATACAAAAATATTTTGTCCTTATATTTTGATCAAACCATTACATTTTTGAAGTCGAGACGAACATATATTTGTATATATATTGTACATATATAAACAGATGTTGTTATTAGTACTATTGTTTTTTATTTATTTATATGGGTATCTATGCCTCAAATATACTTCTGCCTGTGTACATTTTTAATACCTTTTTTCAATTAGCCCTCGAAATGTGTTTAAGAATTAAGTCCAAATGGCTTTCAAGAACAATACGGCATGGGACAATTAATTATATAACCTCATTTACAAATATATAAAAACACAAGCGAAAAAGTTGCTGTGACGTCTTAGCTAATCCTAATGCTGTCGTAGATCAAATTTATATTGTGTTGTGAGTGCTGTTACCGGCATTCTGTAGCACGTAATGTACGAGTGGCATAAAAAACTGTTCAAAAACATCTCGCCTTAGTGATTTACAGCAAGAATATTTACTGCTGAAAGTTCTTTAGGGATCTTTGTCTTTAGAACTGCTTCTATCCTCCTCCTTACGCGCGTCGTCGAGCTCGCTCATATTGACTTCAACGAATTCGTTGCACAAGCTTGTACTCGACGTTTCCATTTGGTCAAGATTTGGGTTGGCCTGAAAATATTCAAAGGAAATAACGGTCATTTAGAATAAGTTCAGATGTATAATTTATTTTTTAAAAGGAAGTTTTTAGATAACAACGAAGCTAGCTTTTTGATTAGTGGAGAATTAAGTCTCTTCGAAACGAGCACAACAGCTCAGTAACTTGAAAAAAAAGTGTCATTTTTTTCAGTAATGAATTATCGTACGCGTTTAGTATCATATTATTATAATCAAGGAAGTTAGAAAACCGATACCTGTTGCTGTTGGTGGACGCGTTGCGGTAGAGCGTTCTGCTCAAGCGTTGGAGTCGAAGAAATCCCCAAAGACCCTGGCAAAAAACCTGGAGACATTGACAGATCCGTCTGCCTTTGCGAAGGTCCGATGATTTTCAGGTAGTTTGCAGGCACAAGACCAGTGCGCTGTTCATCAACGCTACCTGTAAATTCCCCGCTTACTTTAGAGACTAACTAAGCTAGTTTGGTATAAGACATGTTAAGATCAAATTTCCGCTCCACGTTTGCGCTTGTTGAGATCTTACATACCTGACCAGTCCGCTAACACAATACGATATACAACAACAACAATAATAATAAGCTTGTATATATAAGCCGAATATCTATCATTACATTCATATTATAAATAAAACCACAAATGTGAGGTGAATATTCTTCAGTCATTATTTAATAGTAAAGCCTAATCAACTTTTGAATAACAATGACGTGATAATAAGTTCTAAAATAATTAAGTTTACTCAGACAAATAACTTCATATTTAGTTCTAACACACAGTGCAGACAGCAGAATAAGCTCCTATATTAAAGTTTTATACGCAAAACATTCGGTTTGGCGTTTACCTAGTAACCAACCGCGCACCCTGGGTTGAAGATTCTTAGGTGCGAGCCTAATCTGCGCCCCCGCTTTGAAGCTCAACTCTCTTTCACTTTCACCTTGGAAATCGTACTGTGCAACGCCTACAAAATGCGGTGCTTCCCCAGACGCCCACCGGGCTGATGATTGCACTCCGGACGAGGCAAACATTCTATATATAAGCCACGGCGCACCAAGGACTACAGCGAAGAATGAGATTACCGGCCACGAGGATCGAGGAGGGCCCTGTGTGAGGTCCGATGCAACTTGGATTGCCGCCGATTTCCAAGCACTCTCAGGGTTTCCTTTAAGAAGACCTGTGAAAACAAAGCGAATAGAGTCACAAAATAGAGAAAATCAGACAAATAGTTGCAAATTGGATGGGCAAAGATGCATGGCATCTAAGCACCATGAAAGTTCTTTGATGGTAATAGGTTAATATACTCTGTGCTTGATATTCTATACCTTTTCACTAAAATTCACTAATTCTAGCGTGTTGCTATAGCTTAAAGCTTGCAATATGCCATGAATATTTTAGTGAAATACCTTATTTTTCTTGTGATTTTTGTCGAATACATAAGCTATTGCTAAATGGCTTAAGGGTTACAGATAAAGATATATTCACAAACCCAGCATATAAAGGGTCTTGCGGATGATCCATCGTAATGTTCTGACAATGGACAGAGCTGCCAGGACCTGTCCGAGTTGGTCACGTATTCGAGAAAAATGATCCGCAACACCTGCAAAAAATGAAAATATACGTAACCGGGTCTATTTAAGGTTACAGTCATTGTTTCAACTATTCGATAATAATCCGCGGTATAAAACTTAGATGCGAACTACGCTAAGTTCTGCACATTGAATAATCTAAAAAACCAAACGTGTTTTGGACGCACTGTAGCATCGCGTCAATGCCACTTGTTGAACTGCAGGCAAATCAGACATATGTGCATTACAGAAAAATATGTACTGCTATGGGCCGGTGCACCAAACTACAGCGAAAAATACGAATTTGACGCGTTTACAATGCGTTTATTTTATGATGGTTTCATAAAATACCCGTTTGGCTCATCCCTAGTACTATCCATAGCTGATTACACTTACATGGTACGTCCATTTTGTCCATGTAGCATTTGAATCATCTGTTCAACTGATAACTTACCAATGACAGCTCTGAACGAACTGTGAAGAGCAAAGTACGTGCTTTCGAGCATCATGGAAATTGAGCTAAACGCATGTACAAGCGCTTCGACGCTTTGAAACGCTGAGCGGGTACTGTCTTCTGCGATTCGAGCCACTTCGCTGCCTCCACCCACACCGTACCCGCTAACAACGTTATATCCTCCATAACCTCCGTAACCTGTTGAACATCCAACTGCATTTAGTACATGGCCTATATAAGACTTCACTGGAAGGCGGCGCAGCTTGCTCATATTTATATCGTATCGTTGATTATAATCTTATTTTGACCATGCAAAGCTTTTTGGCAATTTAAAATAGTCATTTGATAATTTCTGAATCTTCATTATGCTTTTTTAATTTTCATCTTTACCACTTTTCGGCTACCTTGACAGGTGTAAAATAAACACTCAAATGATCTTTTTTAATTATTATTATTACTATTATAATAGCCTTCCGACTGAACACAGCTTTTACACTAGACAAAACATAGATATGAATATGCCTAGACATCGCAATTTTGACATAAACTAATCCATATTCAACACCGCTTACCACCGTATGATCCGTAACCACCGTACCCTCCCATCCCGTATCCGCCCATTCCGTGACCCATTCCTCCGTAGCGACTTATTAGAGGACTTAAATTGCTATATCCGCTACCATAGGCTCCGTACTGGCCAAGGTTAACATCAGGTCGTGGCGGAGGCGCAGGCGGTTGCACCACAGTTGTCTGGGTCTCTTGAACCGGGACTGAGGTCTGAGCTAAAGCTGGCCCTGTCGATGTAGTACTTACAGGAATCGAAGACGCTGCCTCCCAAGGTTTCAAAGGAGCTGACATGTTCTAAATGATTATAACAATATAAATAGATTTAGGTAGTATCACAGCATAGAACGTAAGTGTCAACAAAAAAAAACCAAAAGATTTCACACAGTCGGTCTTGGAGAACAATACTGGCGCGCACTCGGTCCCGAGTGACTGAGAAATTACTAAATAAAAGCTTTGTTTATATCGACGTTGTCCAAACGTGAAATCTTAATGTGTTTAATCGCTATTTTACACACCAAGTCTATGCGCACCGCTAATTTTCATGATGTTTTGGAAAATAAAATTCAACACAAGTGTGCCTGTTCCTCTAACTTATTCTACTCACAACCAGTAGTCATTACGTCAGTGCTAGTAGTTGTCTAAGCCTCAATTCCAGTACGAAACCGATAAAACGACATATATACTTCTAAACAAAAATAACCCGGAACTAACTTTGTTTGTTGTATCTGTGTGCAAGTTTGCATAACATACGATTTTAGATATGACTTCTTTACTTTATCAGCTTTTATCGGTTGAACTGAACAATCCAGCTGACTGTCTTACATTAAAATCTTAATTTTTCTCACAGGTAGTACAGTTTATTCGGATCGGTGCGCCGTTCCAATTTTTCTCGACGCTATAGTTGCACTGTACTGCCTATTGTCGGTAATCCTGAAACCAAATCATGCGAGTTTTGTTATCTATAAATAATAATCAGCCTTTGCAACGATGTTCACGTCACGTTTTACGACGATACAGGTACGCGGAAGCCAACTTTTATCTCCATTCAAAGCACGCTTTTGAAAACGTTTTTCCAAAGCCAATTATTTAAAACTTCAGTTATAAGACTCAGTAGAGAAAATTTTCTTTCTCTCGGCGACAAAAACAAGTAAGTTATGCGTTATGAACTTACGTATAAGTCCATGGCCATCAAACGCATAAATTGATTGTTCAGCTCCGTATGTGGACGACACGTACTTATTTCCCACTTAGTTCTTCTTGTCGTACCATCCTTGTTAATCACATGATAAAAAACTTCCTTAATACGAGGTTGCGAATTGACGACATCATGCTGTTTACTTTCTGATTTCTAGCGCTTTTCAATTATGGGACAAGATAAACCTGAAATTTGGATAATAACTATTGCATTGTTTGCACGGAAAATTGGTGCCGGCTGTGTGCTTTTTTCACGTAGTTATGATTATTAACTACTAGGTTGCTTGATGCTTGTTCTTTTCTACATTACACTCACTCTCAATAGTAAAAACAGCGGCAGCAGGTTTTAGTTGACGCGTTGCAAAAGACCCTCCGCTCGAGAGCAATGTCCTCGCTAGCTTTTTTCAAGTCCCGTTATTAACCTGCCAGCTAAACCATCATCTATTAAGCATCATTCCTCATATAGATTTTCCTACAACTAATGTTGCAAGAGCGCTGTGTTTCATGCTTGCTCACCATGTCAGATCCATTATCGCAACGTCAAATACCGTCCCGGTTTGCAGACGACAAAAAAAGCGTCTACGTTAGCAGTCGCCGATGGTGCAAACACCTGAGGCCTGCTGTGTGCATGTGTCGTCTATATTGCTGGTGATCGCTTGTCGAATTTCGGGCTGACTGTCTGTATCTAGCTGTAGGTGCACGGTTAGCAGCTGAAGAGACTAGCGCGTGTGTCCGCCTATTCGTTTGACCAGTGCTCTCTATGAGTTGTCCTAGCAGCTCCTATAGACAACAGATACCCGAACTGTAGGGGTCTACTTGTCTATCAGTTTGTTAGAAGAATCACTGGAAGGAACTCTGTCGAAGGAGTCGGTTCCTTCCGCCGTGTATCTCACCATAACATCTGTTACTTCGATTGGAACAGCGGTAACTGCTGAAAACACTGCTGGTAGTAGCCGTCATCTGCGGGCTGTGCCCGCCTATGTAACCCACTTGTGTGTGAATGTGTGAGCGATATGAACGATATATTAGCCTATAAGCGTCCTACGGCTGTGCGTGACAGATTGCTGTAGCCGTAACAGAAGTTGCAGTGCCTATGGTTTTTCGTTTTGTCCAAAGCCAATATCGGCCTATCTAAACAATAACGGGTAGCCATTATACCGGACTCTTTCCAGCTGCTCTGTATCAAGCTGTGTGTGTTCAGTGAAAAACCGAAATTATCTGTGGCTTGATCGTCCGTCTTTGAGTTTCTCTGAGCTCTGAGGCCCAGAACGTCACGCATATGCTAATTCTCGACGAGTGGCGGCTTTCCGCAGCAGAATAACGCCTATTACAGGCGAACGTGTGATAACTATCACGGTGCCAAAAGTGGTCCGCCCCCGTCCAGGCGCTCCAAAACCGATACAAAACAGCTGAAGTGAAGAAATTGCGTGCTCTCTCCTATTGCGCTCGTTGTCGGCGACATCAAGAGTAGCAACAACAGAAGGCTGTCATAGCAATACATGAATTGTTGTTGTTGTTGGAAGTTGGCATCAAATCTGTGAATCAGGCGTGAAAATAGCGAGTTGTCAAGCGTATAGTTTCTGTTGGCTCAATGTGTGCTTGACCAAGTCACAGAAGATATATGAAGAGAAACGAACTAAATTGATAATTTACAGATAGCTTTATAATTGCAAATTTTATAGAAAAGACGTCTTGCCGCTGTAATTTTTGCTTAATCGAAATCTACCAGAGAGTAAACATCACAATACAACAAGTCGTGGCATTTATTCCCTTGTCCAATTAACAAGATAAATAGCAACCGAAAAAAAAAACGGAAGTACTACCCCAGTCACGCCGGACTCCAACAGCTGCTGACTTACCAGCAGCTAATTAGATCCTTCCTTGCCACAGGCTTAGTGTTGTTATCTGTATTACCACTAAGCGGGTGGTGCTTGACCAAATTGAACTCGTTGAGGTGGGATCAACGGGACCAGAGGCGGATTCGAAGGTGTCGCCGACATTGCCAGAAGCCCGTGGAAAAACAGCTTCAATTAACAGTCACAGACGATGATAACGTTGGTGGAACGAGACGTCTACAAAAACAGCATCAAGTAAGAACCCAAGCTATACTGACCGATAAAGTAGGGGTGTTTCAGTGTCAGTATCCACTTCACTGCCAAATTTATTTGCTGCTGCGGAAACACCGTCGCCGCCGTTATCGACATCGGCTCCGTTAACGTTGTTAACCGAAACCACATTGGCATTAAAAGAATCGACGCCAACAGCTGTTGTTGTTGTCGCTACCAAAGCTGTTTACACAGTGGACAGTGATGCGACTGCCGCTGCTGCTGCGGTCGCCGTAACAACGAATTCTGGAGCACCGGGTGAGGTGTCATGTGGTGAGTACCTGCGAATCCTCTCAACCGCAACAGTGTGGGGTGTTGTCGAGATGCTGTCGAGGGTGCGCAGCGCCTTCTACAATGTTGTGCAAAATCTCGACGCGTTTCCGGTCGAAGATGACCAATCGGACAATGGAACGGCGAATGGTGTGGGACAGAGTAACGATTCCAGGAAACTGAAGTTCAGTTACAGCCGGCCACAATTTCTGCAACTTGACAGCAGCGAAGAAATACAGGTAAAGCTGTATATATATATGAACCGTAAATGTGCTATCAAATATTACAATGAGTAAAAATAAAACTACGCTAAAAATACAGATATGTATACAGCTGGTAAACTGGGATAAACAGCCAGGATATGGACGTTTATTTGTATGCCGGCTGAGGGTAGCAGAGGGTATGTGTGCAGCAGATCTGTGTGTTTGCGTGAGTAAAAGAAAATAAGCTTTTTGACGGCTGTTATCCAACAGAAATGGTGGAGGTCGCCAAACATGCAAACACTGTTGCAAAGTTAATGGTTTTTAATTTCCAAGTAGGGAAATGTAAGAAATAGGCCGGATGCACCAGTAATGACGATACCTTATTTTGGAACTTTCTACTGTTAATATGTGGAGTACCAGAGCAGACGTGAATCAGCAAGTTCAATTATAAGGCAGAAAATTGTGGTGTGATTAATAGTAGCAGCGGCATAATTGTAGCACTTGTTGTTCAGTTTCAAAAGCGTGATCGAATAGACTAAGTAATAACTTATAGACAAGCTAGAGGGTCGATTAAGCAGAGCATTCGCTCAAAATCAAACCATCTATGAAGCAAAAACGATTATCCCAAAGAAAAAGACTTAATAAGAAGGACTCTAACCTAGGAACGAATTGCGCGATCGCATACTAGAAGTCGAGGTGTTCCCGATTGACGTTCGTAGTTGGCATGTTTTGTCTTAGTAATCTTCGTAATCTGAAGATGAGGGCATAGGAGCCCTCATCTTCAGATTACGAAGTTGTAACATGTTTTTTTTTTACTTCGATTGTTTCTAACACCGGACGTTACTACTTTACTAGCACCCTTAATAAGCGATATATTAATGGCTGTAGTGCGGAGCCGTCCAAGTCTCGGCCATGGTGAATAAAAATATGTATTTGACTTCTAATTATAACGTTAACGAACGCTAAGCTGCCAAACGGACACATGCTGTTACCTATTTGTCACTCTGAATGCATTGTGAAACACCTTTTGGGCGTTTCCATTTTAAATTATAGTGCGCGGCCGAGTATATAATTTTTTTTTTTGTTTAGTCACAGATGCAATGCAGCATTTATCGATGGCTATCTAATTAGGGAACTTGATGATTCGATATTTTTCATTCCCACGTGCATCCCACACATCAATTTGAGATATGTCATAGCTATAGCAATATGCCATTATAAATCTCGCAATTATGCTGGAATTTTGGAGGAACATACTCGTCTTGGACTGCTACGAAAAAATAGTAGACTCATAGCATAGCGTCCAGTTTTAGTAAAAAACCAAATTTTTACAAAAGGAAGAATAGTAAACTTTTTGTTCTGAGTAATATTTAATCGCTTCATAGTAGTCACCCTTGTCCTCAGATAACATACCGGCACTTCCTAATAATAGTAGTTGGTACCAAAACGCAGACTCTCTTCTTACCCGTATGGATGATCGCTCCAAGTCTCTAAAACCTTTTTAAAACCTACCCGTCTTTCATACAAAATTTCTATTTTCAGGCTAGCGCGGATCACACGCTTCGGCCGATCCTTGTTCCTAGAAATATTTCATTATTACCATGGACTGCAGGCTATGCTGAAACGATCAATGCAGGAAAAAGCGCTCGTAATGAAGACCAGGGTGCTTGCCATGCAGGTGCGATCAGTCCTGAACGGGGATGTGCGCAGATTCTCGAGCAAGCCACACCGAACGAACTGGAGCATCATCTCGACCATTGTCGGGATTGTATACCTTATCGGTTGGTGTTGCTTTCACGTCTAAGGACTGTAATAGTGATCGTTCGTGGACTTTTTCGTCATGAGTTAACTATGGTAGTTAACGGTAGAGCGAAACCCCGACATTAAAATCCTTAGGCAGCCATAATACACTACAAAAGTTAATGAAAAACTGCGACATGTTATTTTAACTTTATTTGTAAACTTCTAGTAGAAAATCAAACCGAAGATTTTCTAATTCAGGAGAATCGCACTCATTTAAGTAATAGGAACTTTGAGAAAGAATTCAATGTTATCATTGGAGTCATTTCGGCATACTAATGCATCAATGATTCGCATTTAGAGATCACAATAGGATTTGAAATACGTCCATCAATGTTAGTGTCTACGAACTTTGACGGAGAGCTATCATGAAGGTTTACGCCATCCTTTATAGTATAGTAGATTGTTGTATGCTTGTCTGGCCTTATCTCCTAAGTGTCAACTGTTGTTAACACCCTTCAGGTATTTTGCTTTATTTGATGGCCATGCTGGTGCCGCAGTGGCGGTAGCTGCTTCCCGGACGCTTCATCGAGTTATTCATTTGCGCTTGCAGCAAATAGCTCCGTTGCTGCGGGACCGAGATAAAGATGGACGCATTCCACTGGGACCACAGTACGGGGCATATAGTTCGGCTATTTTCAACAACTGTGATTCCAAGGTTAGTAATGTGTGCACCAGTGTCTCATATAATTGATTATTTCTAATCTTTGCCCAGAACTTGTACATCAAACAAATTGTAAATCAACAAATTCACCATTATTACGATAGCTACTGTATTACAACGGCCTCCGTCAAATGACGACCTGTGTCGTATAATGTAATAGATTAACGTCTTCATGTTCTCCAGTAGCAAGTAGCAGTAAGACGAACAGCAGATCCCAATCCAGGGTTTATTTACGCGATTCGCTTACCTTTTACTTATTTAACTAATTCACTTTCTGGCGATTAATTGACAGCACGGTACAACGAACATATCTGGATGCTAAATCACAGCTTTCCTCTTAAAGGTGACTGTAGACACGCTAATCACCGGAGCGCTGGAAACGGCCTTTCTGGAAATGGACAGCCAGATAGCGCGGGACAAGAAATTGTACAAGATGCCAGGTGGATGCACGGTTCTAGTAGCGATCTTCATCTTCGGAAAGCTGTACCTTGCAAACGCGGGTGACAGCCGGGCAATTGTGTGCCGTTGCACACGCGGTGAAGTCATTCCCATGTCGCAAGACTTCACCCCTGAATCAGAACGGCATCGGGTCAAGTTGCTGGCGCAACAACGGCCCGAGCTGTTGGGTAACGACTTTACCTACCTCGAATTTTTGAAAAGACCTACAAGAGCTGATATTGGCAGGAAGCTACTATATCGAGACGTGCACATGACCGGCTGGGCCTTCAAGACGATTACCCCGGAAGATCTGCGGTTACCCGTCGTCTGTGGTGAGGGTAAACGGAGCCGTGTGCTAGCGACAATTGGCGTTACGCGAGGATTCGGCGATCACGATTTGAAATCACAGTTAAGCCCGGTGGCAATTAAACCATTTTTGAGTGCGGAACCAGAAGTTCGCATATTCGAAGTGAGTCCCGGCGACGAAATCGATGAGAATGATGTCCTCGTCATGGCTACGGACGGACTCTGGGACGTCACTAATAATGAACGGACGCTCGATATCGTCAAGCGCTCACTAAGTCATTTCTCACCAAACGCCTCCCTCGAGGAGTACAAGTACCGCTACGTGTCGGCGGCCCAAGATCTCGTCATGCAATCGCGCGGCAAGATCTCCGGCAGCAACTGGCGAACGTCCGATAACCGGCCGGCCACGGTAGATGACATATCCGTTTTTGTCATTCCGCTGCGCGACTATAAGCGCGAGTTTGAGCGTCACGTCGAGCGAATGCGCAAGCTCGAGGAGGAAGAGGAAAAGATATCGACGCTTCAGGCCGCCGATAATGGGAACGAAATAAATGGTCATCTGGAAAGAATGCCGGCAACGACAACACCAGGTAGCGTATCCCTGACCTCGCCGAAGACGACAAATGCGTTCGACACCTAGCAACAGCAAAAGCAACATCTATGAAACCTTAAAATATGTCCTACATGAAACAAAAAGAATCTGGACAGCGCTCAACATGACGACATTATGAGACTGGTATTAACAAACAATTGACTTACAGGTCAGACGGAAAGAAAAAAAAAAAAGAAAACTAGACACTTTTATCCCGCAACTGTCATTTGTTGTTGTTGTTGTTGTTGTTGTTGACGAAGGCAAGAAGCGTCCTCAAGAGATCCGCAGTGATATGTGGTGATCATGCAAGCACATAAGTGTCCAGTTTCTCGACTGTCGTTAAACAACAGATATAGCTTTCCCTCGAAAGAGGAAGATAAAATAGGCCGGCAGTCTGAGGTAGGCCAAAAGTGAAAAGGTCTCTCTTTTTGCTATATATGCTGAACTTAGCCTGGAATTCGCATCGACCTGGCTGTATTCCGGAACCTACCATGAAAATTGGCAGCCGATTTCTGGTCTAACTAAACCGGTCATAAGCAAACAATACAGATTTAATCGGCACTTGTCTATCATACGAAATCTCGCAGTATGCGACTGGGTCAAGTCCCATCGGATCTTCGTACATTTCAAGTTTTTATAACATAATTGTACTATATAGATTCGTGTATTCTTCGATTTTTAGTCGAGTCTACAATGGCGGCTGGCGGCAATTAATAAAGCCTAAATATCTAATCATTAGGGCCATATTGGGCCTGTTACGCTGTGAACGTCGACGCGTCGACTCAGTTGTCCACACTTAGCTGGTCTCTTTAAAGCCGCGTGGGTAAAACGAGGTGGGGTTTATGTAATAAAAGATTTGCAAATTGAACTAGATTTATGAAAAACTTGCACTAAATAATGAACAAGTTTTCACGGGTGTAATAACCGCTTCCAAATGTTCAGGTTGCCGTGAACATAGCGCACCTCGTGAAAACAAGTGCTCAATGAGTGATCTGTAAATGCGAAGGTAGATTGTATTAATACTATAATTATTCCTAATTATATGCTCGCATACTGTTAATTCGGGAACAAATCCTCGTACATAAATTAAAATGGAATAAAAAAATGTGACATGATCGGCTGACGGTGGCGGTTATTTTGTTTCTAATTGAAAACATTTTTTTAGTATGTAGCGGTACTATTAAAAAACGGAACGGACAGCTTCAGTATATACATCCAGTAATGTTATACTAGTAATAAATAGAACAATTCATTTACACACTATTTTCTTGTAACAAAAAAAAAAAAAATA